CCACGGGCCGCCGGTTCCAGCTGGCACCACTGCAGGGCAGGCAATGGCACCTGTCAGGCAGGGCAGCCCGCAGCCCCCACTGCCCACACACAGCACATGGCCATGCAGCGACAGCTGCTCTGCATCATACAACTTTGAAGTGTTAGAGACAGACTAGTTAAGGAAAAAAAAGAAAAAAAAAAGAAAAAAAAAAAAGCAATCTCAGTCTACCCTTGCTCTTACACCACTAGATAAGTCAAAATATTGAAATAATATTAAAGTACAACAGCACTAATACTTTAGCAGTCTTTGACATGAAATTGTGGAAAATCCTCTCATGATTTACTTTGGATTTGTTTATCTGTTCTAGATTTGGGGTATTTCTTCCTCCTGCAGATTTCCATTTGTTTTAGCATATATACCAAAACTGGGCTGCTATTGCTATGCAAATAGTTTCATTCAGATTTCTTTTTATAGCAGCTTTTGTTTCAAAGGCTTGCATAACTTGCTAAGAAACGCATGCTTTAAAAATATACATACTGAAAACAAATAAACATTTTCTGCAGGAGTTTTCAAATAACTGTACAAAGGGAAGCTAAAAAGGAAAAAATCAATTATCCTTTTAACTGAGGTATTAGAAGTGAGACTTTTTAAGTTACTTGAAGGTTATAATGGATGACTTTGTTCAGACACAGATTGCAATTTCAGAAACAAAAGCAACAAAAGCTTCCTTGGTTCCAGTAATGTACTTCCCTGAAAAGAGACCTTATTCAGACCAGACAAACAAACATCCCACTTTTCCAAAGAAGCTTCCTTAATGTCTGCAGTGAACTGTATCATCAATGTCCGCTGGCTTTCAAAGCTCTCCCCTCAGACCACAATGAGACACGACAAGCGCCCTGCAGCCACAAGTGCAGACTGAGCAATGGCTTTGTATGTTCTAGAGCACAGAACCTGGAACAGAGTAGGTGAATGTAGAAAGACATCACACAAACACATGGCATAAACATATGAGTTGGGTTTGTAGGACAAAGGATTGCTTTTCACTAATATTAGCCATACCAGTTGATTTCTGGCCAACTTGTATCACAAGTGCTGCCTTTTCTTCATTTTTGGTTTTGGGTTTTTTTTTTTTTTTAATCAAAATGACTTGCACTTGCAGTCATATATATTGGGAATTCTTTTCAAACACATGACAGACACAGAGGAGGTGTTTGCACTGAAATTCATTGCTTACTTTCATTTGACCATTGCAGAAAATGTACTTTTCATCTCTGAACTGCAATGCGTTCTGCCCTGTTYTTGATAACTAGCCAAGAGTAATCTGAAGTTAGTTATTTCTACAACTTGTGGATATGATGAAAAGCACTCAAAAGTATCTAGAACCTCCTTGATATTTTATTGTTCAAGGCAGTATTATCATCTTCAGGAACGCAATATTCTGAAAAGACAGTTCTGCCCATCAAATTCACCAGAAGTCATGGAAAATGACATGCTTTTTATTCCTAAAGGAATAGAAACAAGGAAAAAGCTTCATGTTTCAAACACTGACTGACAGTCTTTGTAACTTCCAGAAATTTTGTGACTGTATTATTGAGATGCTTATTCCATGAATTGCACTAGTTTAATCAGGCAGCAAAGTTAAAGAACAAGCAGCAATGCGGAGGCAGACAATTTCTATTAGCCTAATATCCCATTTCTTGACCAAAGCATTCAAATCAAGGGCAGCCTTGGCTCATACAGGCATCCATGCATCCCCAAAAAACCAGCAACTCCTCTCTCAATAAAGTCGATATGCCACAAGCATCAAGAGATAACCCCCAAGCTTTCTGAGCTACTGAGACTCCACATCCTAATTTAGGCTTGATTTCAGAACTGTTACTGGCARAAGCTGAAAAGACTAGAAAAGCAGAAACAACAAAGCATTGAGTTGACTAAAAGAGTTCACAGAAAAAAACAAAAAGCAGAGTGGGTGAGTGTCCCAACTGAACCAATGAGGTGTCTGAAAAAGCCAGAATGTATGAAACTGTAAATTTTGAAAGAAATTCAAGTAGGCTACTTTAATGTACTCTTCTCTTGAGCTTAGTCTCCCTAACTAGAATTTAAAAAAATAAAAAGAAAAAAGAAGATAAAAAAAAGACATTTGAGACAACCATCCATCCACTGTATCCATGAAAAAACAGAGACTTTTAGGGGAAGAAATACACCGAGAACTCTGGAGCTGTAGTGCAGAAACCCAGATGATACCAAGGGAAGATCTCAACTTCTCATGTTTCGAATCTCATTCTCCACTTTCGATAGGCAGCAAGGGAGCCCTAGGCTTCTATTCACCTACATGATATACTGGGTGTTAGTAAGAGAGTAAGTGCTCTTCTATCCACACACGGTAGCAGATCATAGAGTAGAAGACTTCTACCCATACAACTAAGAGAGAAAAGCCCAGAGGAGTAGTTATTGTAAAGCAAAGTATTATGAACATACACCACAAATAGGCTGACGCTCACAATCCAGAAAGTAATTCTTAAGTATATGCCACAGGAGTATAATTAGACAGCCAAGCAGTTACTGGCGGGTCTTCACCACTCCCATCTGTCCCCCTTGTCTTTCCTGAAGCRCACAATTTTATAAGCATAGACAGATGCCCAATCAGACTAGATATCAGCAATGCCTTGCCACTAAATTTCAGCTGCTCACCTAGAGACACAAACTACTTACTGACTCCAGGGCTACAAATTTGCTAGACAATCAAAAAAAGAAACCTTGGAGTCAAAGTCAAGCATTTGACTTGACAGTTTTCTAAATAATATAAATAATGCTATATTTCAGCAGTTCTCATCAGTCACACAAAAGAAGCCAAAGCGCTGTGCAATAAGCAATGTGTGGCACTGCTAGAAGTGAGACTTTACACTTGTACATACATCAGCAAGCAGCAGACTTTCTAAGTGTAATACCTTATTCAGAGATTTCTCTGCATTTGCTGTCTTAGAGCCACAATACATAGAAGGTGTGGCACAGCACTTGCAATCAGAAATCAGGGCTTACAGAAGTATACACTTAGGAAATTTGCACTGTTTTAAACTTAAGAAAGCTCATGGAATTTTTAAAAAGGCAGTATCATAATTAAGACATTTAACACTAGGAAGATTTTTCAGCATTTAGCAGCCCAACTAACARAATTCCCTCTAGTTCTGGATTTCATACAATTAGTTCATATGATTGAACTATCTAATGAATAATTAAGTGGCAGAATGGTATAATCAGTAGAATGAAATAAAAAGCAGAAGTATGTTAGTCCAACAAGTTACCCAAACCTGTGTATTCAAAACCACACAGACCAACACTTTGACCAGTGACAGCGGAGCACTGCWTATATTAAAACTTCATGAATGGACTAGAAATAAGAGTCTTGTAWCGACTTGTTGTTGGTGTCAGCCCAGTGCTAGCTAAAGTGGAAGTTTCCAAGAATACTTATGATTTGCCTTCAGTGCTTTTCTTCATCTGTATCATCAATATCAAGCCTCATTTTTGCTTCTCTGACCATGAGACTGTACAAAATTTGMATTCGTAACCTGATGCCTCTAACTSTSCCCTTACTCATAACCTGAACTATGAATCAAATAAATCATCCAGCACAGAACACATCATAAGCAACTGGCAGCCATCAAACCTAGACCTGCAGACTCTGCTGTGTGATCAATGAGTTCAATTCTTTATGATGGTGGTCATAATCCTAACCTAATCTCATCCTGGAAAAAACATACACCATTATTTTCTTCTGACACAACAGGCTTGCAGAAGCTGAAAAATTAGCCATTAAAACTTTCCAAATATTAAACTCATGTTTAATTCTATGGGAATAATTGACAAGACATCCATAACCCTATTAAGCAAAGTAGAACACCATCTCCCCAGACGTGTCACCACAGTTACGGTTATTTCTCCTTCCTCCCATTTTGTTTAAATTTCTCTTTTCATTCTATCCATATTTATTACCAAACCAAGAATACCCAGGCACATATCCTTTCCCAGTCTCAAAGAAACACTTAACTTTAAAGGAAATGCACTGCCCCCTAACTAGAGGAGCTGTTTTAGAATCAGTTYAGCATTGTTAGATCCCATGATCCGAATTCAATTCACAGACGAAAAAACAACTGTATAATTTGGAAGCTGTATGTTTCTTAGGAAACAATCAAAACAGTCCTTCAAATGTAGGAGTAAAATTACCAAAGCACTCAAGTGGTGCACTCTTATTGATTTGCATGTACAGCTCACACAACGCAGTCTCTAGCTGTTTTTAAGATCATGCACACATGCATTAGAAATACAATCTTCAATTTTGTGTTTAAAAAAAAATAATTTACATTAACCATGTCTACACATGAGCTTAAAGCCACTTGTTTTTGTATGTAAATAGCAGCAAGGCTACTATTCAAATAGTCAAAATGTTCAATCTTTCCAACAGGCCCCTTGAACACAGAGCTATGATTTCCCTCACTGGATATTCTAGTACCTCAAACACCAGTAGTGTATTGTGGGTTTTTTTAAAGCTGGCTTTTTGCATCAAGCTGTCAGCTATGACATAAAACTCATGTACATGTGAAATTAAGACCACACATTGTAACYGGCCAAAGGCACTGCACCATATTGCCAGAAATAAAATCAGTAATATGTGATGGCACGACTTTGTTGCTTTTTTCATAATAATTAGGTTGTTCAAACAGTTATACCAGACTACACAGAATGGATGATTAGGTGCTGTTTCRCAGGATGAGACTGTTATGCAGGCATTTCACAGCTACTCGGCATGGAAGAATGGGCTACACACTATGCTATATAACTTTCTCCAGTTTAACATTTCTTTTTCTTTTTGCCTCTCCATACAAGAACCAAAAGAATTTTACATAAAGAAAAATATTAACAGTTCTGTCCTTCCAACCAACAAAGCAATAGCCTATGGGCTACTCAAATCACTTTTTAAAATTTTGAGAATTAAAAAAACAAAAAAGTAAATAAAATCACATTACACACAACAAAAGTAGTATTTTGACACTCCTGGAAGAGAAATCAGTCACTACTGAATTTCTACAATAAAATAATATCAACTGTTCAAGTCATTAGTACACAGAAACACAAGAGCTGTGCTGAAAAACTGTTACCATCGACTCCAAAAGGAAGCAGATTGGGATCATGGTTTGCAAYATCAGAGTGTTTTTTGACTGCAACAGAGACTAAATTTAGACCCAGTTACATAAAAAATACTAATAGCCTTAACACTTTAATCAGCATAAGAGGTTTAGAGATACACGAATGATTTAAAGTCTGTTGACTAGTTTTATACTGCTTTTGCAATATTGTGCATTAGTAAAATCAGGGAGATTATGAAAGATATACTAAAACATAATAAAATTACATAAAACATGAAAAGCAGGCTATACACAGTGGCTCCAAACATTGATACTAAGAGAAATTTTACCAGCGTCTCAAAAACATAACTTCTCCATAGATTCTTGCAGCATGGAGGTTAATCTAACCAGGTAATGCAACCCAAGTACTTGGTAGGTTCAGAAAAAAGGTTGGACTCTTCATAGATGCAGTATTAACTTGTGTGATCCTACAAAGGGCAGAGAATAAAATGCTTACTACCTTCATACTGTTGCAAACTGCTGATCCACGACTAGCACAACAGCACAAAGCAATCTGGCAGACTTTCAAATGCCAAGTCTGGCATGGTGACGGGCAATATGCTCCGCCAGCTGTGCAACTCCTCCAGGAGCTGCAAAACGGCAGAAAAAGTAATTCCCTGATGATTTTTCAGGGCAGTTCATTACTATGTCTTGCAAAACACCTGCCAATAATTTACAAAGCATTGATTACATTACGCTCAGGGTTTTTTTCATGAAAGTTAATTAAACAAGTTCTCTGAAAAMAACAGAAGATACAAATATATTGTCCGAATAGAAAAAATTATTTGGATAAGCTATACCTGCTGCCCAACACATGCGTTAAAACTGCAAAATGAGTGGCAATGTTATCACACCCAATCTCCCACTTTTTGATATGTAATCCACATCATTAAAACATTTCAAGGTACACATCTTGAAGCATATGCAACAGGCTAGTTAGGTAAATGTGGATAACCTTTTTTTTTTGCTGACCAGGTTTTTTTTATTTGACCAGTTCATTGCAGTGACATCAGAAAGCATTCCATAGAAACCTGTTCCTATTACTGCATTGTAAGCAGACACAGAAGTTATATGGCTGACAGTCCTACTAAGTTTTAGTGATGATTAAGTTTTATCTCTATCCATTTTCTTCCTTCCAAGGACCTTTCAAAATCATTTTGTGCAATTTTTCTACACAATTTGAGTRTTAACATTAAAATAAATAAAAGGTTATCTTTCAACCTCTAAGCTATTACTAATTTTTTTCCTTTGGTGGAACTCAGTGATCTATACTTCYTCACTCCAAACTGGAGTTCTTGTTCTGATTTAAAGAGCTGTAAAGCAGCTGAGTAAATGACTGGGTTGTGTATCACAATGCTGTGGTTCAGAACTGGTGAGACAACTTAAATGAGACTTCTCACAGACAAAGCAACTGAGTTARGTGATAACTTTCAAAAAATATCAGTGAAACCACTAGCTTGAGAAATCAATCACTCCAAGAGTTTTTGCTTAACAACTGTGCTGCTAAGAGTTCATTCTTCACACCTATGTATTCCCATAAACTAATCAGCTACAAACGAAGGAAAAATAATTTTGGTTTCATCTAAAAAAAAAGTTCAACATTTTTAAGATGGAATTTTTATTTACTTGCACAAGTTCTGACATTGTTACTGACACTAAATGTTACACTTTATCTCCCACATCTTAAATACCAGCAAGGGCATGGTAGCTACTACCACGCAACATGATGAACTCTCTCCACTGGTTCCCCACGTAATTTTCCAGAGTCAGTTTTACAAAAACTGGTATCAGCCTTGGGACAAGTTCAACAGAAAGCTTGTAGTTTGGGTTGTAYTATTTTTTTAACTGAAATGACCACCATTACAAATTTTTTTAGAATCATTTCTCAAAAGTAGCTTTTAGAAAAGTTTTTATCACTTCCAAAAAGCTGCACTGAAAGTGAAAAGTATTTAAGAAAAGCCTGCACAACTGAAATAATGTATTTTCTTGTTACCAAAATTGCTGACTGCCAGATTGCATTTACAAACTGCAACACTTTTTGGCAGATGCTTAGCTCATTATCATTCAGCTGCTGAATCACAGATCCAGCTTGCATCACCTAAGAGGATTATGTAACAACAGGCAGGTTTTCACTGCTTAAAGCTCATATAGCAAACTTGCTTCTTCTAAAATTTAGAGTTTGCATGGATCCTTCTCTCCCAGGAAAACAGTAATAGGGCTAACTGGAAGTTCTACTAAAAAAATGCAAGAGTGAGATGGTTTTTTGGATTTTTTTTACTTCCTATCACAGTGGTAATACATAACCTATCAAAGGCAGTAAAATCTGAAGTTCACTGCACGAAATAATCTCGTTCTTCCATACACTTGAAACTATATTCCTCTTCTACCACTGTGAGGATGTGTTACTAAGCTGAAAGGATCAGTTCACTTACCACTCAACTGCAACCACTCTTCAGAGTTCTTCTGCCAGAAAACTCTAAGACACCCTTTACAATACAGAATGAATTTTATTAATGTAATTAATGTAGTCAATTTGAAAACAACATGCTCTTTCATTCCTTGGTTAATACTGGTCAAGCAGTGTGACGTACATTACCAGTTCACAACATTTACTGCTTATCATGGCATTTYAGACCATCCAAATCACTCAATGAAATATTTGCCCTTCCAGTACCCTTCATGAAAATGAGTTTCTATAAAAGCTTGTGTTGTTATAATGGAAGCTTTCAACTTCACTGGAAATAAAAAAAAAAAAAACTTAAAAGATGAATACTGCTCACTTCAGCTTAGGCTAACTATCCTGTTCTGTACTTGCAGGAAACAAGCCACATAAGACTCCCRAAATAAATGCTGGTGATGAGAGCCAGTTGTATCCAGGGCTGCATCCAAAGCAGCAGGGGCAGCAGGGTGAGGTAGGTGATTCTGCCCTCTGTTCCACTCTGGAGAGACCCCACCTGGAGTGCTRCATCCACCTCTGAAGTCCCCAGCACAGGAAGGACATGGACCTGCTGGAGCAACTGCAAAGGAGGGCCATGATCAGGGGGCTGGGCCACGATCAGGGGGCTGGACCACCTTTCTTGTGAAGGCTGAGAGAGTTGGGGTGGTCTAGCCTGCAAGAGAGAAAGCTCTGGGGAAACCTTACAGCACCTTCCAGTACTTAAAAGGGTCCTACAGAAGAACTGGGAAAAGACTTTTTACAAGGGCATGTAGTGACAGGACAAGAGAGAATGGCTTTAAACTGAAAGAGAGTAGGTTTAGATTAGATACTAGGAATAAATTCTTCACTATAAGTGAAGGGGACGTACTGGCACAGGTTGCCCAGAGAAGTTGAGGATGGCTCACCTCTGGAAGTGCTCAAGGCCATGTTGGATGGGATTTTGAGCAAACTGRTCTAGTAMAAGGTGTACCTGCACATGGCAGGGGGCTGAAATAAGATGATCTYTAAGACCCTTTCCAACACAAACCATTCCATGATTCTATGAAATTTTGTTCTTTCTATTATATCTCTTATCCAATCAAAAATCGTCTCAAGAGAAGGTARGATTTAATACTGTTTAAAGTATTTTTAAAAATAAATTTTATACATTCTTTTTATCTAGTTTCATTATCCCATTTTGAACTACCATTGGTTTCTTACACAGTTTTCAGACCAAGAGCTAAAATTCTGTCTACTGGATACATTACTTTATCAGATTTGACTGTGAGATCATCTTCCCCAGCACTTCTTTTTCAAAACTATGAAAATATCTCTAAAACCTATGAAACAGAATATCATGCAACATTCAGATCCTTACAGTAGGATTACTGTGGACTCAAAAAATTTTAGTAGTTTTCGTTTAGGAATGGTATTCTCCCATTTCATGTTCCCACCAAAACACTCCAAACAATGTGCCGTTCATTCGCTCCTCCCTTCCCCTCTCCTGTTGGGGCTGAAGAGGAGAATTGAGTCACAAAAAGTAAAGATCATGGGTTGAGATAAGAACAATTTACCAGAAACAGCAATGAAATAAGAAAATGAACAGTAACAGTAACAATATTAGTAACAAAATTGTACAAGAAAGGTGAGCAATTCCCATGCAAATACACCAAAAGGAGCCCAACAACCTGACCACCAYCAGGAAGGGAACCCTTCCCCAGTCTTGGGAAGTGACTGGAGGTGGCATGGAATAACCTCTGGATCCTGGCCATGCCCCTCCTGGCTGCTGCAAAAATTACCCTGTGCTGGCCTGAACCAGGTGTGTTTTCCCCAGGCAATACACTCCTCTTTCCTWCCTGAAGTATTAATACATGTCATGCCTTATCAAATAAATCTTGATTCTGTACAAACAAGTGTTTTAGTGCACAACCATCTACAACAATTATTTAGATTGTAGGGTGGGGAGGGAGGGTGTCTCTGCTTGTTAATTCCTAATGAATAGCATCTCTACTAGCTAGTAGAGATATGGGAAAATCCCTACCTTTCCAAGCAAGTTGTACTAGCAAGTAGATCTCAAATGCTGTCTCACAAGACTGTCACTGACAGAATGCTGGGCATCCTACCTTTCCATTAACAGCATATTTTGAGAAGAGGATCTGGTTAAGCCTAAATATTGTTGAAGAATGGGGAAGATATTCAGCTTCCCCTCAGCTCCAGCACATATTGTCAACATAAAATGAATAAAAATGAAACTGTCACAATGTTATTTAACTCAGGGTAAAGCTTTTTTTGATATTAGGAACAGCATAATAATGCTAGAATTATTTTGCTTATCATTGGAGTTCTGCTACTGCATTCCCTTAATCTTTTGAAACATGTCTTCTCATTCTACCACATAGGTACAGGAAGAAGTGACTGCAAAAGCTAGGATTTACYTACAAGTACTATAAATTTGGGGGTGCAAGCAGGCAAGTGTCCACATACCTGTCGCTCTTCTTATCTGAGCAATCTGAATTATCCAGGAGCCTTGGAACAAAATATTTTTAACTGGTGAACACCACAACTAGGTTTGAAGTTAATGTTCTTACACTCAAGAGCAACATAGCACAGAATAAGAAATGGTACTCCTTGACACATTTTTACTGTTAATGAAGAAAATGTAAAAGTCAAAAAACATAAATTATGGACCATCACAGCACTGACATTTTGTGAAGGTAAGGGGAAATTAATCTTTTAGTTCAGATACAAACAAGAACCASACTAGTAACTCTGAAAATGAAACAGAGAAGTTCAATTACTGTCTAAAGCAAAGCACAGTTAAGAATGCATCAGGGAACTGRAGCAGAGTAGGCAAAATTAATGGGCATTTGCTTCAGTTGCACCCTGCTTACAATTACTGACTGCACAGCTGAGGAGCACACCTGCCCCAYAGCACCAGGGGAGCCTATGATATGTTTTCTACAAATGTCCAACACTCCAGTCCCAGCACTCAGCTGACTGCTGTCACCTTGCAAGTCAGCTTTCTAGGTCTGAATTCACACTTCAGCCAGACATGCTGAACACACTAAAATAAGAAGTCAACTGTTTTGCTTATATTTGAGGCTCTTCCTCCAGTGATGGCAATAATTTGGAGTCCTCTGTCAGCACACACTAGAATTTTGTGACTGATAACACTAAAATTTTGTTGATCTTAGCTGAATTACTATCAGTAGATTAGAAAAATAAACAAAACTGACAGGTCTGAGTTAGGGTTAGCGTTGATGATCACATGGTGTCATCTTTATCCTTTTCTTTAAAATAGCACTATTTTTAGTTTGACTTCCGAAGGGATTTTTTCTTCATTAGTATATTCCATGCAGACTTACACAATCCCTTCCCATCCTAAGCCCTCAAGGTAAAAGTCCTAAGGTCAATATGAATATGTACAAAATAACTCACTTTATAAAAGTTCATTAGTATTGGCAAAAATAGTAATACAATAGTATTCAGCAACAAGTATTCAGCATCATATAGATTTACATAGCATTGCTACAAAACCAGAGTGTTTCTATGAAGTTCTGGTTGTCACTGTAAGGGAAATACACATTTTTCTAGACTGTTAAGAAAAAAMCCCACAACATTCAGCCATCTAGTAATCCCTAGATTTTTTTTGTGTAAGAAAATACATTCTCACTCAGCATTACATTTTCGATTTTTTTACATTTCTAGTATATAGTTCTATCAGTTCTTTAACATGGTCTTCACTTTTAAATCACTGTTTTAAACAGAACAGTCTGTAGATTAGATAAAAAAAYTTTGTTGAGAATGAATTGCAAAGTAAATTATCTTTTCATTGATAGCCCACAGGGCTATTTTTTGCCACTTTTTCAGAAGGTTTTATTTAAGCATACACATGAAGAGTATATATTACATTGCTGGTTCATGTAAAACGCAAACAACCTCCACTGCCAAAGGTGGTGTTTCACACATGGGCAGGGGAGAAAAGGATTAAATAAAGTCGAGAGGCCATTTGTTTACCTAAGTTAATTTCTGAGAAATGAATGATCTCAAAACTGTGCTTATCCTCACTTAAAAAGGAAGGTCAATTCCTAGCATCAGCAGCTACARTAAGTCTCACTGCCAACTAGAACAGGACATGGCACAAAATCATTAAATACATCACATGAACTCAGATTTTAAGAGAGAAGATCTTTCTGAACTTGGCTCATGGCACTATGAACAAACAGCAGTGCACGAATAAAGGCTTTAGACTTTGAAAAGTATTAAAATCAGAACTCAGAAGAGGTTTTATAATTGRCATAATTTTGCAAGAGATAGAAGTTACAAATTTTTTATGTTTGCACAGAAGTTACTCTGAAGCACAACTGCTGCTTTTTAAACTGCCTGAAAATAACATCCGATCTTCTCAGAGTACCCAAATTAATTTTTTTTTATCCTGCAGATTAATGTTTTCATACARAATATAAAATGTTGTTTCAGAACAATCCATAAGATGGAACAGATACAGCATTAAGATGCAGCCAGATTAACTTGGGGACAGTTTAGCTTTAAGTGGGCTATTAATAATGTAGTTCAACTAACCTCAATTTAAAAACGGAACGGAAATATTTGAGATTGTTCCCCAAATCACACTTATTAAAAAAACCCCAAACAACTGAAACCAAAAACAACCACACAGAAACCAAAACCAACAAAACCAAAGAATCCAAAGTTTTTTATCCAATCTTATTTTAGAATACAAGAATGACTTTTACATGTTTTATACTCTTTGGCAGGAAATCTGTGAAACTAAAATGTGCCCTGACAAACTGAACTTTCCTGCAAACTGTTCATAGTCATAAATTGATTTATAATGTGTTATGTGGGAGATGTTAAGTTGTAACAGTTTTAGAGTCAACTACATGGAATGTACCAACAGATTCATGAACAACAGTAGCAGTTACTTACACGTTCAGGGCAGCTAATTGCTCTTTATGAACTAGGTTTCTCTGTATAAATTAGAAAACTACAAAAAGTCAGAACTGGGAGAAACCTCCATTGTCTGTAAAAGTTCAAGTGAAAACACCTTTGCAGCACTTTCCTTAGACAATAGCGTATTGCTCATATAAAAGGTCTCTTATCCTATAAAAGTCCTGGCAGAGACAGCCTTCCAATCCAATGCGCCCTGTTTCAGTCTGAAACAAAAGACATGTTTCAATTTATTATCTTCACACTAATAAGAAACTTCTTTCACTATTTAATAATACATTAACTTATTATTAAAATTATATATGAAATTTTGTAATATTATTTGCCAAAGTGATACATGCAGAAGACCTACCCTGCGGACAGCCACCAGATTGTTGCACACAAGCACTCCTCCAACGAATTCTGCTTGTATACCTTCTCGTAAGAGAACCTGCTTGAAGTCAGACAGTCTTGGTTCATTCATAAACACAGACTGATGTCCAAGAACCTTCAAAACAACACACACAATTTAACACCTTCCATTTTTCCAAAGATCTCATTACTGCATAGGCAGCAGTGCAGCCTAGACTACAGGACTCTAAATTAGAAGATYGGCTCTATTTCTGTTACCTGCAGCAATACATCTTCAGGATAGAAAGGCCTTAGAAGTTACCTATCAGGAAAAGAAGTTTTTTCTCTTTGCTCACATATTGAAGGCAAATGGAAAGCTAAGATCCCTCTTCCAAGCCATGCCAGGGATCAAGCTGCAGTAAGCTGTATTGCTGATCAGCACAGGGTTCARTGATGGTGGCCATGAAGCTTAACAGATTTTAGAATTGTCTCCAGAGCTCTCTAGCTCCCACAACAGACTACAATTTAGGACTGTGAAAGAGAGAACCTTACAAAGCAACTCTAGGATTAAAAGGTACTGGAATCATTCAACAGAAAGATATACTATCTCCTCAAATGCAAAGTATTTCAAGAGTTGGGATAATTTTTTGGAAAAGATAAATTTAATGAATTCTCAAATCACTACTATAGAAGCAGATGTATGATCTGTATCTCCAGTATATGAAGTATTTTCCATAGCATCAACAAAACATAATGAAATCCAAGAGTGACTAACACCAACTAATTCCTCTATATGCAAGTAATAATTACAGATATGGCACACATTCATTAAAATCTTATCTTCATAAATATATGGTACTGTATGCTAGACACTGTTAATGGATGCAAAAGATCATCCTCAATGAAAAGCGTAAAAGCTGACTAGAGAACAGCACTAGGTTTAACAAAGAGAAACCCAAAGATGAAAATGCAGTTTCAGTCAGGTTTTCATTTGAGTAAGRTCACAATATCAACCTCTAAGCACTAGAAAAAGACAAATGAATACAGAGGTGKTCATAAAAGAAATTCAGACCAGCATCCTTTCTGTACCTCATGAGGTGGCAGAGGCTCCAAAGTAGGAATAATCTCGCTCTCCTCACACATCTCCTTGTCATCATCCCCGAAGAGGCTTTTCATGGCCTTCTGTTGTGCAATCACACTTGAGTCTGAAGAAGGCGCATCCACTTGCATCTCTAAGTCTTCATCTTCCCTCAACTCTCCCTCTTCCAAAATAACTCCAGTATCTACTTTTGAAACYCTCATGTCCAGAACACCATCTATCCAAGCTAACTCAGCATCCTTGGCTTTACAGAACTGAAGAGAGCTGACAAGAGAATCTTTCAACCTGACCTGGGTTGCACAAAAATAAAAGTACTATTACTTTGATGGAAAACAAATTTCTTACTTCAAGCTTTAAAGATTAGCAGGTTTCTTTTCATTGTCTCTCCAATGGGTTTGATTCATGCACTCTTGCAGAGAGARAGGAGGCAACTGGTATCATCAACGCAAGATACTTTAATATTTGTAATAATCATATCACAACTTAGAAAGCAGCAGAGATCAACTCCTTTCTCATCTTGGCTAAAATTATCAAACAACATACAGAACTGAAAACTGAGTTAAATTTATAGCAAAAGCARTAATTTACTTTTAAAAGCCAGAAACCTTTCTTCCAGCCAAAGTTATTCTTCAGCTGATCTTAGCAAATTCAGAGAAAGTTTCCACAGATACATTTAGGTTACTGAAGAGCAGTTACAAATTTCAAACCCCGCCCCCCCCCCAAGACAATTGGTGTTTTATTGTAAGAAAGGATGTTGTAAATATAAGACTTTTAAGTGCCCTTACCCTGAATCCTCTGGTGCACTCTACAACTTTAACCCTTTAAATAAAGCCCTACTCCTAGAAATTGTTATCCACATAACAGGGTCCATGGTTCCCATAGTGCAATCAAGGCTGCAACCGGGTAATACAAGAACAAACTATCCACTCATCTGCAGCACAGCCCACTCAAAAGATACTGTGACACTGATGTTTCACTCACATCTATTATTTTCAAATACAACATCGCCATTGCACTTCAGCATCACTCCTTACACACTARCAATTCTCATAGTTTTAAAAACCACTATTAATGCCTTGATCAAAACTAATTGTACACACAAGAAGAGGTAGTACCACCTCTCCTCTCCCAAAAAGCAGATGGCCAAATTGCATTCTGCCCACATAGCCCTACTACAGTACACAGTAGTTACACAACTACAAAGTTCCAGCACCTTACCTGGTAAATGTGAGTTTCGCTTGTAGCATCTACTGTTTCATGAAGTTTGGGCATGTAAACTTTAATATCTTTTCCACCAAATGCTCTGCAACAYTCTGCAAGGTCCTGACTGGCCTCAGGTGGTCCATGGACAATGACCAGTTGTCTTGGTTTCATTTGGTTAATAATTTTTTTAATTGAGTCCCCATCTGAACGTCCTTCATAGTCAATGTACGTAACTCTTGCTCTAGTTTGAATTTAAAACCCAAGAACAATATGTTTTAGTTTAACAAATTAAATCTTTGAATGCTACAAAATACTCCATTAAGTTATTTTTAATTAGTCTACACCAGCAAAAGCTGTCAGCACAAGGTATATTATGGATCTGTAACACACAGCTGTCAACTATTACCATRTGTGTGTATTTAACACTATCTATTTACAAAATTCACTTACATAGTTATAAAAAAAGTAAGTTACCCATGAAATAAGTATATCTGAATATTTTGTCCTTTTAAAAAAACATATGTAAGTATCTCTGCTAACATACTGTACCATTTCTTCTATGTCTTCTAGGTGTCTCTGTAAGACAGGGAACAAACCAAGTTTCTTAAGAGTGGGGAAGCATAAGACTGCTCTGTGCTCCCAGAAAGGCTAGTAAAATACAACTTACCTTGGGGAAAAAAATTAAACAAAAATCAACTCCTTTCCCACTTTCTTAAATCCAAGCTAGCGTTTTACCCAATTTGCACTCACGCCACTGTTCTGGCAGAACTCACAAGAACTAAGTCACTCACTTAATTTCCATAGATTCTGTTGCAGAAATACATTTGGTAGGAACATCTGATAAATCCTGGTCCATAGGCTCCTCTCCATTTGTCAAACCAGACTCTAATTTGCTTTTTTCTTCTTCTGTTGCTTGAAGTTCTGGAACTAGAAAATCCTCAGGTCTAAAGAATGAAAGGCATTTTGCTTTTTAGAGTAAAACCAAAGCACTACCTAATATAAAAACAAACAGTGCTCACTATTACTCTTCAGAATTTTTGGAGCTGTTATCGCCAATGATTTTACTACACCTGCCTTCAGTATTTCCTTACTTGGACAGAGCTCATTTGGAAAATATGACCTTCCTATCTTAAAAAAGAACTTAAAACAACTTAGGAAATAAATACTAGTAAATTGAGGATTTCTTGCAAGTATTCCTTATGCAAAGATGACAAATTTCACTAAATTTTGTCATGATGAACAGTGTTTTTTCCCCTCAAAAATCTAATATTAGGTGTCATTTAAAGCAGAAAAAAGTCAGGTTAAAATAATTTTAAATCTTTTATTTCTCAAGATTAAAAAAAAGCCTGAAGTGAAAATACATCTGAAAAGGTGTGAACACAAGTTAAGGATCAGTACTCTGCAGCTTCAATCCTACATAAATTTCCTGTAAGACTTAGCAATTTGAAGAGCATATAAGAATACTGCARAAGAGAGAAAACAGTGATTTTAATTCCTTCTAGTTTTTGATTATTTCATAGCTACTATGTGCTAGTATACATTACCACCACATACTTGATAATTTCGCCATATTCGTCCCATTTAATTCTTTCTTCAGGAGCTGGAAACATTGGATAAGATTTCTTTGCCTGTYTGAAGAAGCTTCCTTTCCGGCTACCTTCCCCCTTCATCATCAAATCATGTTTGGTCTTATGTAAAGTTGGCTGATCAATATCCTCTTCAGCATCACTCTCATCACTGGAATCAATATCTGCCCTGAAATGACATTCCAGAAAAACCTAGCACTTCTTTTTTCCTTCAGTTTTCGTACTACATAAACACACTGGCCAGTAACCAAGGCCAAGGGGATTTCATGTATCTGAGAAAAAGCTCACAGTCAAACAGCAGATGAAATGGGGTCTATCAGAACAACAGATTAAAGACAACCATTCACAATTCCTTWGTGCCCTCAGACAAGTCTACTGAAATCATCATTTTAATTTATCCCTGTAAAGAGTTGAAGGAACAGAATAATCACACTGAAATCTTAACTCTGATTGTAACAGCAAAATACAAGAATAGCAAACATACTTACTCTTTAGACTGCTCTAACTTCTTAGCTGCTTCTTTCTTTAGTTTCTCCTTTTCTAGGTATTCTTCAAGTTCTTTTCCTTCCAACTTGACACGTTTTCTCAACTGCAGATAGAATTAAAATTAGTGCTATTGTGAGTAGCTGACAAAACTTTAATACTTCTACATGCTGCTGACAAGAATATTTGTAATTGGGTACCAAGGCAGGTATAAATTGTATGTCCCACACAAGACAAGACTATGGAAAAACGTGTGGCACCTTGGCATGGCAATATCGTGATAGGGTCAATTAGTACAGCTTACTCTAAAGGAAAGCATTTCTAAAAATATTAAAATCAATTAAGCTTTCCAAAAAACTCTTAAAATATCTTTGGGAAAATTTTCTCTAATGAGTGAAGGCAAATACTCTTAGATGATTAGCGTTTTATAAGTTTTTCTATCATTAACATCAAATGAGAAGAACCTAACGAAGTCATACTAGCTGGCAAAACTTTAGTAGATTTTATTTCTTGTTTTCAGAGTACGGGTCACTTTGAATAAACTGAATTCTAGTACTACTTTAACACTGTAATTCAATGTTTTCAATCCAATCTAAAACTAAAAAAGCTACATCATCAGTACTGAAATTATCACTGCAATCACAGGGGATTTSCATAAATTAACAATGTTTCCCAGACAGAAGTAGACAAAAGTGTACAGATTATTGAAAACCATTTGAAAGCATGAATAGCAATTAATTGTCTCCTAATTTCCAGCATTTGCTTATCTTTCTAATCCTGATGGATATATTATACTAATTTGACTTGGTTCTCCCTTTATCCAAATCTKGAGTATTTTCCAGCAAGACCAACCTATCATATGTGGTGATCTGTACGTCAACAAGCAGATTTTTTTCTACTATAATAAAAACACAAATGAAAATGTTGTCTAAAAATGAATATTTAAAAGAAAATTCATGCTTAGCTCTATGGAGTATGAACTTTGCCACACTATGAAAAGATGTTTTGCAGTTCTCAACAGGAGACCTATTTTTAAGTAAATTTATCCACAATTTGATAAATATGCAACATACTGATTTCAGGTTTCTCTCCACCACTAGAAGCATTTTCAGATGATCAAAAAGGAAACTATGTTCAGTTTGCCCATATGACCCCAGATAGCCCACAGTAAAAACTTTGAGATACAGAACAACTCTCACCTCAATATCTATAACTTTTTCAGAAGGATTATCAATCAGGAATCGTGCTAAKGTTCCAGGTGTAGTGCGGTAAGTTAAAATTATAGAGTTTTTGGAATCCTGACACCATTGAATGAAAAGATCTCTAGAAAACCCACACTCCAAGTCAGGCTGACTGGCAAGAACAACTTTTGGRCTAGGCACTCGAGCCAGATCAGACAGACTGTGACATAAGGAGAGATGGCGGAACTGAAAAGGATTGTTTCTCTTGTCTTCAAAGCACCTCATCAACTTGTCACTCATCCATTCAACCTAAAAGACATATTACAGAAAGTTTTCTATACAAGTTCTGCAACAGTACAAGCCTCATATGAAGTACAGGATGCAATGTGTCCATGATTACATCAGTATATCTCAGCAAGTGTAGAAATGCTGTTGAGCATAACCAACATTGAAACAAGTACTTTAAATTCTCAGTTTTAACAACTATAAACAATGCTAACAAGTCTTATCATAAAACCAGAAATCAGTATCAAGAAACATGCCCGCTGACACAACAAAATGAGCTGAAACACAAACATACACTACAGAATAAGGACACTCCCCCAGTATTTTGCCATTTTTTACTGTTAAAAGGCTTTTGAATAAATGTTCCATTACTCTTCATAATTGCATTTTAAAATCAAAACAAACCTGTGATTTAGAGAACTCCACTACATTGTAGCTGACGTTATTCAAAAGTGCGAGAGAGTAGACTCCTAATCCTGCATCTTTTGTTCTCCAGATCTGATCAAGAAGCTGAGCAAGTTCCAGAACTCTGCCTGCTGTATCCACAGCTATTAATACATTTCCATCACCTCGTAATGTCTCCAAAACGTTAGCTAAGAATTCAAAACAAAAACCCACTTATACTTTGAACCAATGTTAGAATGTTTGTGGGGTGGCTTGGGTTTTTTTTGGYTTGTTGTATCATATTAGCAATCATAATCAAAAGCATACTGAACACAGAAACAAATCAAACTTCGAAAGAGATCCAAATCYACACTTCCACCAAAATTAAAGGGAGGCAGAGTTTTTTCTGTTGTTCTGAAGATCTCTCTGCCTCGGTACTTCTTTCRTTAATTAAAAAACGAGATTTTAAAATGGATTTTTAAAAAAGAAAGTGCTGAGGCAAGTAACTTAAAAAYCTCTGAAGAGATTTATTGGTACTGGGTAAAATACACTGTTTTCAAATATGGTTCATTGCTGTTAGGAAAACATTTAACTTGCAGGATCAGTATCATCAGAAACGAGTAATTCAAAGTTGTTACATTTCAATAAGGGTTCTTAAGTTTAAATGTTGATGAATTTCTAACTGAAAAATAATTTACAGTGGCTAATAAATCATATTACTGTTATTTTTAAGCCCAAACAATACATACTCAGCAGCTGTTCGTCCCTTTGCTTCCTCCTGGGTTGTACATAAGTAGCATTAAATGAATCTGTGATAAGCAATGAAGGCCTGCTCAACATTTCCAATGAACATCCATTCAGATGGCTGTGGAAAAAAGGCAGTCTCACTTTTTTTTTGCATTTCTATTTTAAGAGAAAAAATAAGAAAGCTAGCTTCCAGATATTTGCATGTACAGGAATCAAATTACTCAGCTGCAGAATGCTTCCTGCTTCAAATCTACAAATAAATACAAATGAAAGGAATAAAGAAACCCTGAGCTAATGTTTGCTTCAAACTGATTAATCTGGATGCAAATGAAATTAATGGTCTTATTAGAACTGGAAATGCACTTCTGCTTCCACACCTCTTTATCACCCACTAAACGATACACACCAAACACAGCTAGGAACTGTATATTGCTACGTTGAACTTACATCTCCCTCTTGTGGTTGAAATCAACAGCATAAACAATTTCTTCCTCTCCATCCTTGACAATCTTCCAAATTGTGCCTCCTATCATGTGACCAGCTGGCAATGGTGTGATTGACAAACCATGTCCTTTGCCTACAAAAGTTTTCAGTATTTTAGGTACATTACACATACTAAAATCCATTACTCTGAACCAAATATAGTAACTTCAAACAACTGAATGCCTAAATTACTACCAAGATATCAAATCAAGTATGAAAAAGCAGTAATATCTGTCCTTCCCATCTAACCAGTAACATCAAAACGTTTTGCAATTCACTTTTATATTTCCTCCAGAATAGAGAAACTAAAGCAAAAATCACTTCTTCCCTCCACCTACCACTGACAAAATCAGAGGCATTGCAGAGCTGCTGTAACTACAGAACTAAACAACAGTAAACTATATAAAAAACATATCACAAGAAAGCAAGAACACCAGGATGAAAGCCAGGACCTTTTCTGGGGCAGCACTAATGTTTACCGTATCATTCACTTTTGAGGTACTTAGTAAAACTTATATAAATTACACACAATCTGGAAGCTGTCCAGAATGACAAACAGTACAAGTCAAACCAWAGCAGGAGATGTGTTCATGTGCTGCAGTGACAGAACTGTTCAGCACCTGATGCATCTTTTAAATCTTTTAAATGTACTATTGCTCCCTGTCATTGATACCAGCCYGTATCTTTGTCATATTAAACTAAGACCATCCAGGACCATTACTCACTGACCTTGCTGGATGAAGTGCACAGTAATAATTAAAAATTAAACGTACATGATCTTCTTAAATGTCTCCATTGAGGCTTTCAAATTATGTCCATTAAATATAAAAGAAACTTGTACACTAAAATTACTCTTCAGATGTAAAAATTGCCGGCACAGACATAGCCTTGCTACAAATATAGCAAAAAGAGGCCAACAGTCTTTCAAGGATAACATACTATTTCTATTTTCCAAATAAGAAGGTAAGTACTTTGGCAGCGCTATTCATGAAACTGCAAGAKACTGCACTTCAGAGACAAACAGCTGGTGGTCAGCTTGCCTGTATCCCTGGTCCAGAAGAGTTTCCATTTCATTCTGATCTCTACATTCAACATGGGTGGAAAGCTGCTGATTGTCTGCAACAAGCTACACTTAGTATCATCTGAGTAAAGGAAGATCTCCACATTAAATCATGCACATGCTGTAACTTCATCTCTATAATCTGCTCTAGAAAGCTTTGCCTTGTGGTACTGGTTATGAAGAGTTCTGAGGTATCTACCACTAGACATAAGTAAACGCTTTTAATAGACACGAATAAAGAAAAGTTAAAGAATATAAAAGAGAAACATACAYCTAAACATGCTTTGGCAGGACCTTCACTGCATTAAGCAAAAATTCTAACCACTTCTAGACACAATTGCTGAGGCAAACATTCAGCTGATACAGACTGACATGGGGCTAATGAATTTAGTGCTGCAAAACACACATTTCAGAATTSACTCCCTTTAAAAAAGTTACTTTAATTCTTAACCCCTCTGTCGCCTTTCAATACAAGTAATTTCTTGAGGGTTTGGTGACAATTTTACCTTTCAAGTTCACAATCTGTGAAAACTTCAGCTGTTGTATCTTATCAAAGGCCGCATCTACATCGTCCAGTGTAAAGAGTGTGAAATCTTCAGTGTTATGGCGGGACTAAAACAAAGAGGTACAGAGCATTCAAGCACTCCACCATATCAAAGATGTCATGTATGAAAGTAGCAACTTAAACATACCTGGTAGAGATCATACATAAACATCTGTCCCATTTTATATACAGGAATAGTCGCATAAATGGCACAATTCAACCCCATTTTTCCAACTGCATAGGGAAGTGCACCAAGGTGTAGAGGGTCAGGGTGGGAAAGAAGAACAGCATCAACCTGGTGTACATGCCTGTAAAGAGAGGGCCAACAAAAGCCATTGAAAGGAGCTCTGCATGGTTTTGGGTATCTCMTGTAAAGGCTTTTGTGAGAACACATACACAGTCTGATTGCCAAATAATGAAACCCTTCAAGGTCTGGAACAGTTTTAAAAATCTTAATTAAAAAYTACAGGTATTTCCTAATGTTCAAGTACTTAAAAACACAAATGATTTCAGAAAGCCTAATTTTAAGRCCCGGAAGACATGTAAGTTTCACACCAAACTCCTGATGAAAAAGACTTCAGTATATGTGTGAACACCAAAAAGTAAATTAACTGAGGGACCAAAAATATTATCAGTATAGATGTGCTACAAACGGTTTATACACCTAAAACCAGACTACAACTTTTCTTCTGATGAGAAAGACCRAGTAACAGGGCCAAAGAAACAACAACCCTTAAACTGAAAAAGATCAAAAGATATTTCTTTAAATATAGGAAAGATAAAACATAAAATTTAAGAAAAGCAGCACATCAGTTTGGGGGACTTCATTACTTTTAAAAGCAACTTTTTTTTCTTGCGAAGYGTTGCATAAAATTAGAACTCAGACWAAAGAGTTTCTACATATCATAACTGAAAAACTTCAGGGTATAAAATACATGTAACAAATTAAAATACAAGTTGGACTGATAACTTTTTATTCCCTTGCATAGTAAGKGGGGCACACACATTCTTCTGGATGGCTGTTATGAAAAAGGGAATTTTATCTCATTGCTTCTCAGACAAGACACTTGAAAAAATTTATAAATTATCCTTAGTACCTAACAATCCTCAGTTAAAAGATTTCAAACACTGCAAGTGTGCCAATGCTATAAAATTAGCATCAAAAAGCTTAGTTTCTTTCCCAAATTTCTATGCTTCAGTCCTAACTTGACAATCAGCATAGCTCCTTGCTGTACACCTGCTGAACTTCACTATTAAAGTCTAGATAGATTTTGGGTTGTAGGGGTTTTTCCCCTGTGAAGGGATGGTGTACTGACAGAAGGTGTTTTCCTGACAGTGTATTCAACTTGAAACAAGGGCAAGAGTTGAAATGCTTTGTATCAGTGTACACATAATAAGGCTTCTTATTCCATTTAAAACTTAGTTAACTGTTCTAAATTACTTCAGAGCCAAGGTCAGTCTCCCATCAACTCTGCTGTGACACATTAATGATAGTAAAAAACAAACAAATCATCCAAGCCAAAACAAACACAGAGGAGTTTGAGAATTACAGTTAAGARACACAAATCACAGGACTGACAAGAAAAAAATCCCAAGTTTCTTCAGGAAATATTTCTGCTGTGTGTTTCCCTTCAYGTAAAATATACACAAACCAAAAAATTTTGAATTTAGCAACACCATACATTATACCACCACATGGAATTTTGAACTTTCAAGACAGGCCAAGACWTATTAAAATAAAAAGGTGTATGAACTGAACTACTTACTTCCTCAGAGAATCAATAATATCCATAGAAAAGTTCTCATCCCAGCCACAGTCCAAAAGAAAACGAAACTCATCTACTTGCAACAGATAGCAAAGGGCAGATTCCTCCTGCACCCCCGAGAGTGTAGTCAGCTTGATAATCGATGTCATTTTCCTCTCCAAGTGTTTAACTCTCCAAAAGAACTAATCTGAATGAGGGACAAAACGTTTTATTGACTAACASAAAGAACAAGTCCATTTACTTAGATTTTGCTTCACATACTCCTGACAATAGCAGACTAACACTGTTAATACTRTTCAACACAGCTGCCGCATATCAATTAAGTCTCAGATACTAACACTCGACTGTTACAGGTCTTCTCTTATTAGAAAGAGATGGAGTCTTTTTCTACAATATACACTAAAAATAACTTTTAAAAGGATCCCTGAGTGGCGAAATTAACAGCAGCTTCACGGAGCTGGGTGGGGGAACCCAGAGATGGCGCATCCAGGGCCACGACCTCTCAAACTCAGGGCCTGCCCGATCAGGGCCACAGCACGGCCCGGGCCGGGGGTTCCGGGGCTCCAGCGCCCCACAGGGCCCCGGCGACCGGGCCTCGCCGGACGGGCCGAGCCTCGCCGGGCGGGAATGGCGTTACGAGGGGGAGCCCTGCGCCTACTCCAGCCCGAGACGAGAAGAACGAGAGGGAAGAGGAGGATGATGTGGAAGAGCCGATACCTGCCACCCTCAACCACCCCCGGCCCGCGCCGCGCCCGCCGCCATCTTGCGGAAGGCGGGGAGGAGGGGCAGCAGGCGGAAGGGTGGCGGGCGGCACCACCGCGAGCCCGCAGTGGGGGAGGTCCCTACTCCCCTGCCCCTGAGCGGCCCTTGGTCTCTCCCGGCCCGCCTGTTCCTGGTGCCCTTGGCGCGGCCGCTGCGGGTCCCGGCGCCGGCGGGAGCAGCGGTAATGATGGGTTCGTGTGCGGGGTGGGAGCAGCGGTAATGATGGGATTCGTGTGCGGGGTGGGAGCAGCGGTAATGATGGGGTTCGTGTGCGGGGTGGGAGCAGCGGTAATGATGAGGCCGTGTGCGGGGTGGGAGCTGCGCTGAGGGCGGAGTCGCTGTCAGACCTCCCCGGGAGCACCTCGCCCTGTCCCCTACCCCCTCGGSCGGGACTTGGCGCCGGGCGGGAGCGCCCCTCAGCTGTGGGGCTTTATGGCGCTCTTGCTCCTGGAGGGGCGGTCGAGGTCCCGGGCGGRCCGGAGGCGGCTGAGCCGGAAGGTGGCGGGGCCTTGTCGCGGGCAAGCGGCCGGCCCGGGGGCGGGAGGTGTGTGGGAGTGCTTCCCACCGCTCCTGCAGGGGGTGGGTGCGTGGCCGCCCCGCAGCGGCCGCTGCTGAACGGCGGCGGTGTCGGCCCTCGGGAGCCGGCGCGGGGCTCCGATCCCGCGGCTGTGTGTGACGGACTTTCCTGGTGTCGCGTGTAATTCCCTTATCTGGAAGGGTTTGGAAAGGTTTGCTGGGCCTCTTTAGTCTGGAGGAGTCTGAGGCATCGATTAGTGCATGTAAATACCTCAGAGGCCGGTGCCAAGAGGATGGTGCCAGACTTTTCAGTGGTGCACAGCGACAGGACAAGGAGCAATGGTAATAAACTAAAAGACAAGAAGTTCTGCCTCAAGATGGGGAAGAACTTTCTATAAATTGAGGGTAGCAGAGCATTGAAACAGGCTGCATAGGAAGTTTGTGGAGTCCCCCTCTCTGGAGACATTTAAAACCCACCTGGGACACCTTCCTGTGTCACCTGCTCCGAGGTTGGACTGGATGATCTCCAGAGGTCCATTCCAACCCTTACTGTGATTCTGTGATTTTATAAATGTTCTTCCTTACTTTAGAAATGTCCTTATCTGTCAGCTCCCAACTAAACATACAACTTGTGTGTGAGACTTGTCACAGGTAATAAAGTGTCCATCTACAGGAGTTTAGGTTATAAAAATGTTTTGAACTGCAAACTTATAGAGGTGCTTTGATGGGTAAATTACTCTAGAACTTTTCAAATGTAACTACTTCACCAGGGGTATATTAAAGAGATATTCTGTTTTAGAATGAAAAACTTTTCCAAGGGCCCAGAGATAGTTAGGATTATTTCTAAGAAACCCAGGTGTGGGTTTGAGAACAGCATGTGTCTCCTAGGAACTGTTGGATAGCCCTCATGCTTATTATGTCCTTGTAGAATCCTAGTAAGTGAGAGTAAAGGTGCCAAGCATTCAACGTTATCAAGTGAAGATTTATTAGTAACTCTTACTTTTCCTTTCTAGCAGTCATGGTCCTTCAAGCTGTGCGTGAACACTGGGTTCACATCCTTGTTCCCTTAGGATTTGTGATTGGATGCTATTTGGACAGATGGAATGATGAAAAATTGTCTGCCTTCAGAAACAAGAGCCTGTTATATAGAAGGTCTGCTTTATGATGCTTCTTATGTACATTTACATATATATACACTTATTTTTCAAAGTGCTTCTCAGTCCTCTTTTAGAGTTATAACAGTAAAAATGAAGAAAGCCCTAAAAATATCAAGCGTTCATGAAGTGGTTTAGGTCAGCAATGCCGTCTGAAAATGGAGTCTTTAGGAGCTATCTTCATGAAAGAAAGGCTGCTGTCCTTAACTGCTGTCAAGTTCTTGGTCATGAAATGTGGAAACCATTATTTTGACTCTCTAAAACTTCAGTGGCAAACATGCTCGAGTTTTAATTTTCTCTATTAAATTTAAAATTATCACAACACTTTTTAACAAAATACTTTTAATAAATGTGTGTTATTTAAAAATAATAACCAAGTTCTTGAAAAATAACATAYATGCTAGCAACTGCTGTATCTTCACTGAATGATGTGATTGTAGGCACTGATCAGTTTGGGTTTTCTGTCTGTGACTCCTTGGGGAGAATTTACTTCAGTGAACTTCAGGCACTGACTCATTTATGTCAGTTCTTATTTTGTATTAGATCATTGGATTAACAAAAGAAGAGGAAAAAAATCATGTTGCATAGACTGATAGTAGGAGTGTTATTATCAGTTTGCTGCTGGATTGGTTTTTTTCCGACTCTGGCCTCATATAATTAGTTTTGAGTAAGAAAGAGAGCTTTTGACATAATCCACCCAACTGGTACATTAGCACTTTCCTTACTGCATTTGTTAGTGAAATTGGGCTGCTATGTCAGCATCTTGCAAAAATCCCGTCTGCTTTCACACCTCTCTTTCCACTAAAGTAGTGAATTATTATATTTTAAATAAGTAGAATTTTTCATTTTGGATCCAATTAAAAGTCTGTTAACTCCTTAGAAGTTAGCTGTTCTGTGCTTCCCTCAAACGAAAGGAAATTAAGAGTACTGAATACATTTAAGCTTTTAAAAGAAAAGAGAAAGTATATTAGTATTGAAAGATTTTTAACTGACAAAAATTGGAAGGAAAGTTATTTTTTGCATAAATCTAAAAATGAAGGTATTGTAGAATAAATACTTACATTTATTAATAATTTTTCTAGAAAGAAAGATACCTGTTTTAGTCGCTCTCCTCTTGTTTTCTCTTTCTACACAGGGACTTGAAGCCTGGTGAAGAAGTGACTTGGAAATAAAAGCTGATGATGAAAAGGAAGACAYTTTCRTTTGGTTCATCATCTTGTTTCACATATTGAAAGAACAGGAATATGGTTTTTACCCTGAGAGGATACTACAGTAAACGACGTCTGCAGTTCATCAGTGCTGGTTTAATTTCCAGAGTTACTTTTTCAAGTTGATTTAATTACATGATTAATATGTGTTCAGGAATTCCATTAGTCCATAAGCATTGAGAAAATTTTGTTCCCTACTCTGGAAGGGAGAGGAAGAATTAATAGAATAAAGAAAAACTATGCAAAAATCATTTATGTTGTTATTGATGTGTATGTTGTAGAATCCATGTTTTTATAGCTAGTTCATGAACTAACCTTCAAACGAATACTTCTATAGATGTAGAATGTGGTTGACAGTTGTTTGGTTTTTATAATTGAACCTGGATGAGTTTTTTTACAGATTTCCTCTGTAGGCTTGTTTGGAGTAGCAGTAAGCGGWACTGCGGCTTTGTGAGCGGAACCAGGAGGGTGTAAGGGACGGGCAGCTGGTGAGCACAAGGCAGGAGCGGGCGGTGCGGGGCGCTGCTCAGCGCGGTGACGGGAGAAGCGGTGCGGAGGGGCGGAACGGGCTCCGTGTGTCGCTCCCTGCGGGCGCGGCCGCCGCCGCACTGGGGCGCTCGCGGGCAGCGGCGGGTCGGGCCTCCTTCCGGCAGGGGGCGCCATTGCGGCGGGCGGGCCGAGCGCAGCCAAGGGGCCCCCTGTGCGGCGGGGGCGGGGGGCGCTGCCATTGGCCGCGCGGGTCACGTGGGGCGGGGGCTGCGACCGCCACAGTAAACATGGAGTCGATCTTCCACGAGCGGGTGAGTGAGGGAGCGAGTGAGGGCCGGGCGGTCCGGCCGCGCCCCGCCGCCCCCCGCCCGTCTTGGGCACAGCGCCGTCGGTTGTGGCCGTCTGGGCCGCGGAGACGGGGGAGGCGCGCGAGCTCTCTGAGGAGCTGCTGGGGCGGCGGTTGGGCCCCGCGCTGACCGCGGGGCAGCCCCCGGCGATGCGCTCGGGCTGTGCCGAGCCGAGCCGCGCCGCGCTGCCATGCCCTGCCTGGCATCCTTCCAGCCYGAGGCAGGGGCTCGTCCTCTGCCTCGGGAGAGAGCCGAGGCCCAAGCGCGACGGTTCCGGTGCCTATGGCCCGTGCCAGCTGAACTCTGCCAGCCCTACAGGGAAGGCAGAGTCAAGGCTGGGCCTTGGCGTTCCCTTTGTCGCGGGTTTGTTCTGAGGACTGCAGAAACAGACCCGCAAGTGTTGGGAGGTGCAGGCTGTAGCTGCTTGTGTATCTTGACAGAAAGCTTGCTTGACTGAGAAATGAGTATGAGCTGCGGCGTGGATCCCTGGGCTCTCAGACCCATCTTCACTGAGCCTGGCTTGGTTGAGGTTGTGTAATGAGCAGGAGTGAAAAAGCTGCTGGAGAAATTGCAGTTCATATACTGGATTTCTGTGTGCCGAACAGTGTTTCCTGTTTTGGAGGACAAATGCTTTTGTGAACTTCTGTGATTTATCCAGATTCCCAAATATGACCTATTTCTGTTTTAATGCGGTTCGGATTTTAATTGGATTTTTTTTCTTGTACTTTGCTTATGTCTCTTCAACTTTATTGTGTTGATCTTAACACTAGTTCCGTTACTTAATTTTCATGTGTAGGGTTGATTTTGTTAGGAAATAAGTAAGATAGCTGTGTATCTTCCTTTAAAAAATTGTTGTTTGGAAATCCATAAAAGCTGAAGAGTGTTCTTTTTGAATAGGTTTGAGTTGCAAAATTTGGCAAGTGTTGTGGTGTTAAGTAGCTGCTGTTCAGAGGGTGCGTGKTGGATTTCAGCCATGATGGCCTCTGCTTCAGTGACCTTGAGTTTTAGTCTAGGTTTGAAAATGGTTGAACGAAATGTACTCTTTTCTTACATGGTCTAGCATATCACAGTATGAAATAACTCTTTTTTATTACTAAGTTTAAGCTTTTTAGTTTAGTAACAAAACTGCTGAAATTGAAGTGATGAAGCATAACGTATTCAAAGTTACAAGGYGATGGTAATTTGTAGTTGCTACAGATTCTGGGGAAGGGGGAGTAGAYAGTTTAATGTGGAATATACCTGCACCCTGGTAAGTTACTTATACAGTTAAAAAGTTGCACCTGAATGYGTTTTAAGTTGAGTAGCAAATATTTGTATTCTGTTATTATTTTAAGGGAAATCCAACTGAATCTCTTTTTTTCTTAAGGGATATTTTTCCCCTGCAAGTTCTGTCAAAATATTTAGAAGTGCTGTATGTTCATGCACATCCCATTATCTGAGTCGTCACACACCAGGTTTTGATAAAAAGTCACGACAAGCATGGTATTTATAAGGAAAGGAAAATTTAAGGAGAAATTTTTCTGTGTAAGGAAAATTTAACAAAACGAAGAACCAAGCAACATGGCATTTTTAAGAGAGAAATAACAGTTGCAGAAAATAGGATTTAACGACTGGACTTCAGGAGTCCCTGTCTAAGAAGCTTGTCATTTCTTTGAGAAGATRCAAGTGATTGAAAACACTGAAAGCAAGGCAGCAGTTTACATCAGGAGAGGTTTCCATGAGRGGATTTCAGGTTATGGAAAAGAAGCAATATTCTGTGCACAAATCAACAAAAGTTCATGTCAGKTATCATGTAGGATCYGGTTTTTGTATTTGGCACTTAATGTGTATCACTTTTGCATACAAAAATTAAAGTTCATTACTTTCACATAATACTGTACAAATACAGAAAGGTTCTTTTAGTGAAATTAAGATGTAAGGCTGCAATACAACTGATTTTCAGAGGTATTTTAGTATCTGCTTCTAAACCAGTTTCATATACTTCTCATGGGGAAACCTGYGATTGTTGAGCAGGTTTTTCTGTTACAGTTTTGTCATATGACCAGCAGTAGGGATGTGGTCCCAGAGGTACAGAAGCTGTGTTTAGCCTTGAGGTTCTTGTTGCAGGAAGGGCGTGAACTGGAGGAAGTTTCTGGATTCCATTGATGCTTGGYTGTACCACCAGTGTAGCTTTAATAGCTCATTGCTCAACTGAGTGATGAAGCTGTAGGAAGACTCTGGAGTAAAGGGAACTTTCGACATTTCAGCTGTAAGGGAGATCATGGGGGAGTTCTACATATGATTTGTATGATGCTTTTATGGAAGTTTAAAGAATATTCCTCAAAGGCATACTCTTGTATTCTTAGTTCCTGTGGCATGTGGGAGTAGTGTTCTGTATTGTTCTTGAAGGGTTTTGTTTTTAACAAGGAGCATGTATATTAGTYCATAATGGAAATAAAAATGAAGGCTGATTAAAACAAAAGAGAAAAGCAGGATTTTAAAGCTTATGTTACTTGTTTTGCACTTGAAGTTACAACTATTTGTAAAACAAAAAGGTTGCTTTTCATGGGAAACTGCTTTGATTGGTTTACATTGCGTTTTTTTTTAAAAGGCAGTATTTTGTCTCACATATGAAAATGATGGAGCCTGRCATGCATTCATTTAGATGAGGTTTTTTTTGAATTTGTACTACAAAATTGTGACTGACTTTTCTAATTAGGTCATTTAAAATTTTGTTGATGTTTTAAAAATGTTACACTATACTTCTATTATCTGTTATGTACTGGGTATGTAACAAAGTATCTGAAATGGTTTTTATTTAAATGGTCTACCAATTAAAAATATTTTCATTTTTTAATATACTGAATTTAACTTTTTTTTCTTGTTTCCTCATCGTTGTTTTGAACMTTTTTAAACCAGTGGTACGAGCTTATTTTATCTACTTTCTATATGTAAATTTCATGTGGAAAAAGACCTTTGCTGGTCCTGCATCTCCTAATCACCTTCTCATCAATAATGTGGAGAGCAGATTGTCAATAGCCATACCTCAAAGGGAAGAAAAGTTAAAAAATAATGAGTGTGTCTGTTGTAGAAGATGTTTGTTACTAGGAAGTAGAAATTTGTTTCATTTCCATGTGTCGATGATTTGGAAGAGGATAGAATCCATTATTCTGATGGTTGCAGAGTCTGTGTGATTTATTGGGTCATTGGCAATTTTTATGGTATTTTCAAAAACAATTTTTACATCGAATTTATTTTCTTTGAGGAAATAAGGTCGTATGCATGCTGGGGTTTTTTCCCATTAAGTTGATGGGAGGGTTGTATTCTATAGCTTGCAGTGTAATACATTCAAAAAATATATGGTATTCTGCATGAATGGGGAAGGCAGGAAGTTTGGCAGAATAAAATGATTGAGTCATTTTACAGAGTTTACATTAACCTGATTTTTTCTTGTTTCTTTTCTTGGGYTTTTTTTTTCTCATCCACTGTTAGCAAGAAGGCTCATTGTGTGCTCAACATTGCCTGAATAATTTGCTGCAAGGGGAATACTTCAGTCCTGTTGAGTTATCCTCTATAGCTCAGCAGTTGGATGAGGAAGAAAGGATGAGAATGGCAGAAGGAGGAGTATCTAGTGAAGAATACAGAACATTTTTACAGGTAAAATACTAGTTTAAGGTTGCTTGATATTTGCCTGAAATGTAATATTTTCTGGCACAGACCTGCTATTCTTGCATAGCTAGACAAGGTTAATTTTCTAGTGCTAAAGCTTTTTATATTTATAGGCCTTTTCATTCATGGATCTTGAATGTGGCATTTCCAAATGTTACTAGTACAGCTTTACAATAATTCTACAAGAAGATATATTACCTTCATCTTACAAGTAGGAAGATCAGGCATAGTGAAAAAAATTCTGTAATTTTCATTTTGTTTTTATAATCCAGTGTCAGATAGGAATAGAAATTCCCATGTCTGTCTGCCCTTAAGCACTGAACATCTCTAAAGGTTTGAGTTTTAAATTAATATGCCTATTTTGGGCATTGTAATCAGCCTTACAGACAAGGACATAAGTTGTTACTTTAAGAATCCACAGTTACATTTATTTTCAAAACTCAATTATTTTTGACCTTTTATGCTTACATCATTTTTCCATTTTCTCCCTCCCCACTTCACATCGAGCAGCAGCCTTCTGTAAATATGGATGATAGTGGATTCTTCTCAATTCAAGTAAGCACAGCTCTCCTCTGACACCATTTCCTGTTCAGGCATATTATATAATTTAAATAGCATGAGMTTTTTCATCTAGTTACCAGTTTATGGTCTTAATGGGATAAAGTACTGGAYTTTCAAATCTTCTGAGTGTTTTCCAGGAAGAACAGTGACTTGCAGTTCTTCAGTTCATGGGCCCTTAAACACATAGGAGAAGCGTGGATTCTGGAACTGTGAAATGACCCCTGCTGGCAATAAGCTTGACTTCTAAGCTGCTTCTTATGGAGCAGAATTCAGATTGCTTTCTCAAATTATACAGTGGAAAGCCCTTGGCAATGATTACAGGGTTATCACAGTGATCTGTAGATTTTTTTTTTTTTTGGGTGTTTTTTTGTTTTGTTTTTTTAGGGCCACAGGGCAAAAGTAAGCAGTAATAAAYACTTAAACCAGAACAACAACAAAAATAATTTTTAACACCAAATTGGGGTTTGTGTCTAGTTAGACCCTAAGTATCTTTGGCTGTCTCCCAGGCTTTCAGAGGTACTTGTCAATGCTCCAGACTGCCTCAAGAGCCTTTCTTCCTTATGGTCAACTTAGCTTAGTTTCTCTGTTTAGTGGGAAAATATTAACAGTTTCGCTTTCCTTCTATTTTTGATTGGGCTGCTTCAGTAACTGCAAAAAATGCTTCCTCCTTCTACTTTTTTTTTCCTGTCATTGCTTTGTCATCTGATGCACAGTGTCTTTCGGAAAGGAAGTTGAATAGTTAACTTAAAAATTCTTACAGCATTATTTTGTTTCTCATTGAAGAGTTATTGTAAAAGAGTTGGTACTCAGATCAATATACTGACTCATCTTGTAATGATCCAGTGATACAGAATTTCCAGTAGTTACTGTAAAATCAAGATAATATGCAGAGGGAAAATAAGGGCAGAGCAGTGCGTTACAAGTAGAGAGATGCCAACTTGTGGAAGGTGAAATTACGGCTTGGTTTAGGGGAGTAAGCTCATTAARACAGTTGAGTTAAATCCTAGTTTTGTTGCTTCTGCTTAGATAAGATATGAGTGTTATGTTTGCGTATAGATTCATGACAGCTGCATTTTGAGTAATGTGACTCCTRGGGTTCCTGGCCGATTTCAATGTTTTGAAATCTCCTATTTATGAAGAAGGTATAATTGGTGTAGCCAAGATGGTTGCAATGCTTGAATTTAGATTTGAACTGTTTTGACTCATGCAAAGTGTTATTTTTGGACAGGTTATAAGCAATGCCTTGAAAGTGTGGGGTTTAGAACTAATCCTCTTCAACAGCCCAGAGTACCAGAGACTTGGGATCGATCCTATGTAAGACTCCTTTAGCATTCTGCTTTTATTTTACTGAAAAAATACTCTTGATCTATGATTTAAATCTTTCTTTAAAATTGCTCTTCAAGCTGTGTTGCATTTTGATGTTTGTATTAGCCCCTCGATTTTTTTTTAAAATTTTTTTTTTTTTGGGGGGGTGCATGAGTTCATCTGTCCTCTGGGCCTTCATGGTATTTTAGTGTCTGTGGCATCAAAGGTATATGGAGATTTCAGTGATACTGACAACTTCCTAAATGATATAAAAGCAGTATGAGTTTTCTGTAATGTAACATCAATGGTTGTGTTGCTGAAATTTATTTAATAAAGTTCAAATTAGTGGTAGCAAAAATCTTAAACATTATTATGTACTCTGATTTTAGAGTATTTAATTTTATTTACACCTTTTGTTTTTCTTTTTACAGAAATGAAAAGTCATTTATTTGTAATTATAAGGAACACTGGTTTACAGTTCGAAAGTTAGGAAAACAGGTGACACTGTCTTTTTTTATTTTAAAATTGACTTCAGAAATGGGTGTGGAAAGTGTTTGCAAATAGATTGTGCAAGTGTGCAAGCTTTTRCAAGCTTTTGCTACGGTTTGGTTTAATAGTATCCCATATTAAAAAAAAARTAAATCTTTGTTTTATCACAAAAATGCCAGGCAGGTCACTGTAAATGTTAGCCTGGGGAAAGACTGTCATCTAAGGATCAATTCCCTGGTGAATCTGTCCTTTAGAGAGCTGCAGCTCTGGTAGTGTCTGATGTGACTTCTTAAGCTATTTTCTTTTTTATTTTCCTTCATGAAATACTGAAGAAAAATTGTAYTCGGGGGTGGGGGGAGAGAAGGGAATCTTGAACAAGGATTAGGATCCCTACAGAATGTAAACTTATTTTAAGACAGTAAGTTACTGATACTGTAAAATAATTTTGTTTAAATGGGCAGTAGTTATAAGTAAAAGTTCAAAGTTTTGATGAATAATGATGGATACTCAAAAGAGTATCCATTAGAATGAGGCTGGGGAAAGCAGAATCACAACTTAGTACTATTACAGAAAGCTTTGAAATAACTGTATTCTATGCAGAAAATAGTTACTAAACATAAGGGATGGCCATSTTAGTATGTGGTACATATGTAACAACTCAGTTCATATCCATGTCCCTTACACCAATGCAGTCTTTTATTTCAGTAGCTAATTATTGTTCTGGATCATACTTCATAAGCTTTTATACAACATCAGCTGATTTGGTGTTTGATTTTTTTCAGGTCTTTTTTTTTGTAGAAAGCATTCATAGCTTTTAGATTCTGTAATAGTMGGACAGAAGTCTCTTTGCCCATTTGATTCATTTTTGCAAGTTCTAGCTACTTAGATTGTCATCTGGATTTTAAAAATAAAGAAAAATCACCCGTGAGTGAGAAAACTAAACTACTGTTCTGCTTTAGTTTAAAAGTCTGGCTAATGTTTACAGGCAATTTTTGTTTATTTGATATCAAAGAGGCTGGATGTTCTCTTAAAAGTGTGGAAATGCTCCTTATAATRCAATGCAACCATGTTGGGTGGAATTTTATGAGAGCACAGTCTAGCCCAAAACATCCTAAATTGGTGGTGGAATGTCTTTTGTCTTTTTGTATGTGCAGCTTGTAACCACATGAAGATAATACTAAGTGTCTCTTATGTAGACGGTAATGAGAAGATTTCACAAAATAGTTTGACTTAGATTTATTTGACCTGCCTCTCTTTTGTTACAGTTAAAACAAAATTAGTTTAACAAAACGTTCTCCCTCATAATGACTTTTAAAAGTTGCCATAGTCTGTCCATCATATTTTTACACTTTTTATTCCCCACTCTTCTGCACTATTGGTCTTTTTACCCTTTCCTGGTGGCAAACAGTGTTTTTGGCAAATTAAGTGATTGCATGACAGGGTGGTGGATAGTATTGTTATGGGCCTGGCTGCAAGTGTATGTGTGCATACATGGAGGTTTGGGTAGATCAGTGCATTTCTGTGAAAATGGAGATAGCAGAAGCAGAATTCTATCTCAAATGATGCTTCCTGGTTAAAACTGGATAATACTGAATGAGTTGGTCTTAAAAAAACTCCATCAGATTAATTGCGATATATATGGGGGTTTAAAAGTAGAATATTTTGTTTCACATTGAATATATTTTCTCTCTAGAAGTTTTATGTAAGTATAATACAGTTTCTCTCTAGAAGAATTATAAATTACTAGTTGTGGTCTTTGGGGAACTAGAAATGCCTTGTATATGTTTATGTGAAGTGACCCCTGTTGTAATATAGTGCTATACTCTCAGCATATTAAATTTTAGTGAATTTTTCTTAATTTTCATGTTCAAAAATTATCTGAAAAAGGGGTAAGCACTAGTTTTCAGCATCACCAGCTATTAAAATTGGAATGTTCAATGAAAGTATTTAATGGAAATAATTCAATGTCTATTGCCTGTATTTATTMATTTCTTAACACACAGCATTAACTGATGAAAGGTTTCTTACTTCATTAGTCTCAGGTTTAAAACTAGAATTAAGCAGATTTTTGGAATGATGTCTGGAGTAAATCAGAATACAGTGGTTAAGGATTTTCTGTTTTAATGTGTTTCCTTGGTATCAGTATTCAGTAATGGGAGAGAGCATGCAGTAATTTCCACACTTCAGATGTCCTATTAGAGTATTTGAAGGGTAACCTTTAGCAGTATAAGTGTTATGCTTCAAAAAACTGTTACTTGATAATTTATTTTACTAGATTTTTTTTGTGTTTTCCAAAATAGAAAATTACCACAATGTACATAAACGGATTACTGAGTAATCTTCATGCTAATTTGTTCTCTCAACGTTTTTTTAATTACAGTGGTTTAACTTGAACTCTCTCTTGATGGGTCCAGAACTAATATCAGATACATATCTTGCACTTTTCTTGGCTCAATTACAACAGGAAGGTAATAGTAACCTGTAGATGTTAAATCTCATTACTTAAATCTAGGTAAAAATCAGTATTTCTTAGAACTTATGTATTCAGTTAACTATCCTTACTTTTATGATTGAAATAGTGAAATAACCCAWGTCCTTCTAATGAAAGGTAGAGTCTTACATCTTAATAAGTTGCACATGATTGTAGTCTATGTAGTGTACATTTTAGAGTGTTAATACTTGCACTTTAACGCTGTAGACTTACAATTTCTTTTTCTCAGGTTATTCCATATTTGTAGTAAAAGGTGACCTGCCAGACTGTGAGGCTGATCAGCTACTGCAGATGATTAGGGTACAGCAGATGCAGCGACCAAAACTAATTGGAGAAGAGGCAGCACAGTCAAGAGATCACAGGTAAGGTAAATAAAGATTTCATTTTAATAATGTTCAGTATGATTGGTTTGTGATTTGGAAGTAATGAGAAGTATCTGTAGTTCAATATTTACTGCTGTTGTGCGCAGTAAAAGCAAGCTGATAGACTAAAAATGCTGAATTTTTGAGTAAAGGCTATCTTAATAAGGATTGAGTCTTTCCATATGCATAAGCATATAAKAGTGCAGATTTTTTACTTAGGGATGAAAATGAGTTAGCAAATCTTATAAACTATTATAAATAGTAATTATTCTATAATTAAGACTGATTCATGCATTCTGTCATAAGTAGAAAAGAATGAAAAACTGATCTCTGAATTCCATATCATGTAAATCATGCAGCATTCCCTTTTGRAATCATTTTGCTGTAACATTGTGGTGCTGCTCATTTTTTATGCATTCTGCTTAATATAATAAAACATCATTCAAAGCATCTAAAATAATACTATCTAACAGCTCCTTGTCAACATGTGCATTGCTTTAGAGTGCTGTGTGTGGCTGATACGTTTTAAGGTCACTCTACAGTCACTTGCAGCCCTTTCGTGCTTTTTCGTTTTTTAGGAAAATATTTATRTAACAGACTTTCATAGCAATGTTTTTTTTCAAAGTTTAACCTAGATTTATATCAGCAGAACATATTAACTTTAAATCTCACAATAAAATATAATATAATTTCTATCTGAATTTTGCAGGCTACCCAGAAGTGATGTGGACCAAGCAATAGAAGTTAACCATCCTTTTGATGGAACAGGCATTTTAGACGAAGATGAAGAGAATTTTCAGAGAGCCCTGGCTCTAAGTAGGCAGGAAATTGATATGGAGGATGAAGAAGCTGATCTTCGCAGAGCCATTCAGCTCAGCATGCAAGGTGCAGTGCTCATCGAAATTTCTTACAGTGCTTGTGTTACTTATTCTTTAAGCAGCTCCTGGAATCAGTTTGTCAGGCACTTTTTCCAGCATGAATCAAACTCTCTGGAAAGACTTGCTTTGAGGCATGGAGGGACAATCCAGAATGATCTGTAGCTGTCTCCCTTCTGCTTTTCAAAAATATTTGAATTGCATGTTGCCATTGATTACTAGGAAGGAGGAACAAATTGGCAAAGGGTGGCAGGAGGAAAGGGAACCATCCTAAGGTGAGGAAGAGGAAGCGTATCAAGCGAAGTAACTCTAGGTGTTTAGTTCTCCAGCAAGTCTCTTCCTTCCTCTCAAATTTGAAGGCATTTCTTAAGATGTATTTATTTCATTTACTAACTTCATTTTATTATAATTAATAGGATGTGGCATGTTCTGGTTTTAGGTAGCCGTCGAAGTGAGCTCTCAGGCTCATTATCACAGAATGTTCCTCAGTCGTCTCACAGCAGTCAGACAGACTCCCTTTCTTCAGAAGAGCTGCGAAGGAGAAGACAAGCATACTTTGAAAAGTAAAGTAGCTGATAGAAATCTGCATGTGGAAGTACATACTGTGTTTTTCAGTGCTTTTGGGGCATGGATGGGTTTCTTACCGAGGTTCAGCTCAACTTTTCTGTCTTAACATGATTTCCTAACAGTACCTGAATTTTGCTATTCTCAGGTGGTTCCTACAAAGAAACAGGTAGTAAGAGGATGTTTGTGAATAATGCAACAGCAGTCTTGTGAAGAAAGAAAATATGCATTATAGAAGTATTTAAAATTTAATCCTGTAAATATCTGCAATYACCTTCCCGACAAAAAGTATTATTTCACTAAGACTTTGCTTCTGATAATGATGCTTCTCATATGCACCATACAAAAGCACTGTATATATTTTATGTTACTGTTCTGGTGCACCTTCTTAATACATAGTTGGGTTATGGTAGCTTTTCCTTATCTCTGCCTTATAGTAATGGAGGAAATAAAGACCAGGGAGAAATGCTATGGATGGGAGGAGTTAGATTTGCATGATAGGATAAGAATGCAGAGCTTCCAAATCCTGGGAAAATAGTCATGTGGCTCAGAGTATAGTACTGGGAAGACAGATGTCTGAAGGTTAGCAGGRTGAAATGATGAAAGAGATTTTGGGCACAGGGGTGTTATTGTACCAAACAGCTGCTACTTTGACTCKTGGCCCTCCTTATAATGAAATGAACTTGATTTGGCTCTCATACTGATGTTAATCTTACTCTCTTACAAATTTATAACACTTTCAGGCAGCAACAACAGCTACAGCAGCAAGATCAGACCCCAAACCTACAGGAAAAGGCAACTCTTAGCTCAAGCGCCCCAGAAGCTGGCCCAGGTATTGTTTTTTAAACYTATATCTGACAATGAAATACCTTTTCCAACTATGTGTTGTTTCTTAGTTTTCCTTGGCTGCCTACTYTGTCACTTCAGCAGCCATTCAAACTGCATATCACAGCTATTACTGTATTGGCAATGAAGGAAAGGATCACTTTCCTGAGAAGCCTGTTTCCCTCTGAATGTAAATATCCTGTTTCAAAGTGAAGAGCACTGCTATTAGACCACTTGAGGTCTGGCTTTGCTTTTTGTTTTGATTGTCTTGAGCATTACAAATTGGAGTCTTTGGAATTTGTGCAAACTGTTTGACAACTTGGAGTAATACCTGACAAAATTACTGGAACAGTTTTCAGAAGAGCTAAGTGTAAACCTTACCAGTGTTAGGTATGGGTGATCCAAGTCAGTGAAAAACTATTTGCAAGATGTTCAGTATTTTGAAAACAAAACCAGCTTTTTGGGTGGGGTGGGAAAAGCTGGGTGTGGACCAAAGGAACAACAAAAGAATTTAACTATAATTAAGAACTTTGAATTTATTATACCTTGTATACATTTATTGTCTTTAGGAGGTGATATGAGCGAAGAAGACATGCTTCAAGCAGCCATGAATATGTCTCTGGAATCTGTTAGAAACCACTTGAATGCAGAAGAGGAGAAATAACATCATTTTTTCCTCTCTTACTGTCAAAACGCTAAGTCTCCATTAAAATTCTACTCTGTGAATGTTGCACAAGCAGGGTTCATTTCAGAGTTCTGGAAGCAGGAATGAAAGGGGGGCTGTGGGATGTCAGTTTAAAGAGGATCTGCAAATATGAAAAAGATTGCACTAATTTATAAAACTGTAGCACTCCTACTACAAAACATTGCTCCCGAGAGTAGTGGTGTTAAAAATACTGAAACTATTAACCCAAACAAAGTTAGACAAGGGTAGCAGCTGTAACTTGCATTTAAGAATAAGTTTAAATTGTTTTGAACTATTCGGTAGAAGATATAAATGGTGCTGAAAACAGCATCAACTGATTTTCTTTACTACTAATGGAAAAACAGATACAAGTAATAAGTTAYGCTCATAAATTCTTTATAATAGATTCCTCTAAAATGGGGAGAGTAAATTCTGTTCATCTTAAATAATTTATTTTGGGRTTATTATGAATGACTTAACGTCAACTTTTTTATCCTGCTGTCCACTTTTGAAATGATCCATTCTGCAGGAGAAAAAAGAATCCATAAATTTCATACTTTTCAATTCAAGACAAAATTTTCAGTGTATTGTTGATTATAATGTTACTCCTGAGTCTTTTAGTGATTTCTGACTTTCTAACACTTTTCAGTTTTACTTCCAATTCCAATTGTAAAATTTTAGTTTAACATACATTTTTAATATGCTGTCTTTTAGCAGATAACTTGCCTTATTTGGGGGTTTTTGATGTTCTTGTTTGTTTTTAATTATTGCTTTCTTARGTTCTTTCTTGTTAAGCCACTGTCTTTTTACTACAAAAGTAGCATATACTCAGTTGGGTTGAACAGGTTTTCTTTTCTACCTCTTCCAGTGTCTTTTGCTCTTCAAGCTCAACCCTTCATTCTGGCCTTTCRGTATGAAAGAGCTGTAACTGAGTCTAGGAGGAAGTAGGAGGGGATTTAGGTGCCATAAAGTCAGTGCCACACAAATAAGGTGCATTCCTGCCATCTGAAATGACCCCTGTGCAAGTAGCTGTTTTAAGAATGAGTATTTATGCCTGTGTGGATGTACTTTCTGAAATGCTTTCTATGAGCGTCTGTCAGAATGTTGCAGTTTTTTCAGAAATGGCCTTTATTCACGCACCTTACAATTTTTTATCATGCTGTTTCTGATCCTGAGAAAAATTGGGGAGCAAAGTATGTGAGATAGCTTATGCTATTGGTTGTAAGACATTTGCATTGATATCTATCTAGGATGAATGTGTAACAGGGTGACCAAGCCTGACTTTGAACTTCAGTGCAACAGAAGAGAGATGTTTCGTTTGCCTAAATGGTGCTTGAAATACAAATTCTGTTTACATATAAATTATATGGAAATATGTTGTAGATAGAGTATATAAGCTGTAGTCCAATTAAAGCATTAACATTTAGCACAGGCATTCTAAGAATCTKTCAAAGATAACCCCAAGTTTCTTTATCAAAATATTCTGAAGTGACATCTGTGCACAATAGTAACATTTAATTAAAATTACTAGCAAATACACATTCAGCATCAAGTAGTACTGTCCATGAAAGGGCTCTTACCTCTCAGTAAAGATTTGTTTACAGCAATGATTTCCTGATAGCTTAGGATATTATTATGTTATACATAATTGGGCTTAATTCTGCTTTTCTTATCCATGTACTGGATTTTCACCAATGTCACCAGAACCACTGGTATGTATAAGACATGTCTTAATGTGGATTTTGACGTGAGACAGCACTACTTTTTAAAAACTGATTTTTGTCTTGYTTTAATAATTCTGTCATGCACATTATAATTATTTATAATGTCTCAAATTAATATAGCTGAACAATGACTTTAAAAGTCCTTGTGTGCATATGCTATTTTGAAATGTGATATTTTTCAGGATTTGATTTTTTGCTTGCAGTTTGAAATTTCTGTTTYATAGCAAGAAAGGTGTCTAAAATGCTGATTTTTTTTTTCTCATCTGTCAATTAACCACAGCTTAATTTTCCTTGTTTTGTTGTGCCATAAACTAATTCTGAAATAAGACTCATTTTTATAAATAGGTGTAGACTRGCAATCTGATGCCAGTACATGGAACTCAAACTTTTTATTCTTTATTGTAAGAATATAATTAAAATGTATTATAGCTATAGCTCTCACAGTAATAATCTCAGCCCTTTAAATTGCATCGACTGTAACCCAGGCCAACTGAATGATTTTATAATCACTAAAACATGGAGGTTTGCCTTTGAACTTTGATGTCACTGAAACTTCACGTCGTAAGTCAGTTCATCACCCAAGTGTTTTTAAATGGAAGGAATATKAAGTGTCAGTGCCTGAAAACCCAACTGAGTCAGTGATCACAGGAGTAACCATTTCCCTTTCTGTGTAGAAGCCTTGTCACTCAACAAATACTAGTTTGATTTTTAAAGAAATGTCAAGTTGAATGATGTAGACATAAGTGTCTATATAAGCAGTTACAAGATTTAAGCTACATCTGTTAATTCATGGGATTGTGTCACTGGAAAAGACCTGCAAGAATCCAACCATTAACCCAGCCAAGTCCACGACTAAACGTCATGTCCCTAAGCRTCCTACACCTCTTTTAAATAGCTCCAGGGAGGGGACTCAGCCACTTGCTTGGGCAACCCTGTTCCAATGGTGGACAACCCTTTCAGTGAAGAAATACTCCCTGAATCTCCGCTAGTGCAAACTGAGGCCATTTCCTCTCATCTTGTCACTTGTTACCTGGGAAATGAGGCTGACACCTACCTCACTACAACCTCCTTTCAGGACTTGTAGGGAGTGACAGAGTCTCTATTTGAACTGTACCTAAGGAAAAGACTAATACTGATTGCTGGCAGTACATATTTTATAACCCAGGCCTCAAGTTCAAAATGTGTGGACTTGACAAGAAGCTGTCAATAAAACACTGATGTCATTTTTTGGCGTGCATTCTTTCAGTGATAAGTAGTTCTCAATGTAGCTTAACCGTACTTCTAAGGTGTTTACTAATGTAGAGCATACTCCTGGTATTATCTACCCTCTCAAGTGGAWGGGTTGGGGATTTTTTCCCTGTGTTACAGCTTTAGGCCGAAGTCCAGTGTGAGGGAGCAGACTTTGACTTTTTACTTTTTTTTTTTTAATTACAGAATAATATTTGAGGGAATTTCAGACTTCATTCATCCAACAGGTTTTTAGTATGATCCAGTGAATAGTCCATGTGACATAATTTATGGTTTTCTGCCACTAGAAATCGAAGGGGCAGGGGGACTGAGTGATACATTAAATATCTTCCAAAATTACTTCTGTAAGTATAAGTCTGCAAACTGCTTTTCACTGTTTTACAGTGAGGACAGGAGGAACAAGAGTTGCAATGCAGTCATGCTTGCATGCAATCCTTGTTAGGCACAGCAAGTACAAATATCAGCTGTTTAAATGCTTACATTTTTCTAGATTTAAAACTAATCTGATACAATACTAGCATAGTTTAACTTTGGGCTCCCTGTGCCCTTTGAACTGCAGCAAATTTAAGTGTAATTTTCAGCTAAGGTACTCTTCTTGTCATACTTTATTACTTTGCAGACTACTTGAAAATAACCAATACAAATTTAAATCAATTACGTGTTTTTATGTTGGGCTATTGCTTTTATTACAAACTTATGGAATGGTGGGGGGCCATTCAGAATGGTTTCTGTGGGTGTCTAGTAGACTAATATTATCATTTGCAAGCTGCTTTTATTACGAAACTGACAGACTTTAACATGTTTTTGTTAATTTTTAACAGTTGTAAAATGTCACATCTTCTAGAATTATTGATTTAAATAATAATGAAAATATGAAAATGGTGGCCTTTGTACTGAAAAATACAGCATAAAGGAATAGGATCAAAAAACTAGAACTCAGACTAACAAAGAAGTATTATTTTGCAATTTGTGTTACCAGGACGTCACTTTTAAAGGAATTGAAATAGGAATCCAAGGAAAAGAAAAATTGATATGGAAACTTCTTGAGGGCTTAGATAGAAAATTATGTTGTTCACTTGATAAGCCATTACTGTTTTGCATAAAACAAACTTAAGCCCTGGAAAATCTTGGTAATTATTCACAAATCATTATTTGTGAATTATTCACCAAAAAAAAAGGGAAAATAGGTCTAACAGGTAATACATGCCTGTTATATATACATAGAATGAGTTGTACCAGTGAGAATAATACTTATACATAAAACTGTCTGGGTCCAAATACTCAGTTCTTCAGTTTTGAATTAGTAGCTTTGTCTAGTATCTGGGTTTTCATCTTAAAAGCATGAGCTCTTTTGCAATAAACTTTTTTAATCTTCATACACACATTTTGCCTTATTTGCATTTCAGAGATGGATGGAGTGCTGTGGTATTTAACCTGCCGTAGTCACCTTCTTCTCCATTACAGTTCATCAAGACAGTTAGCATGTGTGACTTTCAACTGCTTTTACCAAATCAAACTATTTATACATTTCCTTTGTTAAGAAAAACAAATAATTATAACTATTCTTTTAATCTCCCCTCATCCTCAGTACAGCCACTGTGTGAATTCAGGAGGGGACTTATAAGAGTTTGAACRAAGGGATGTAATATTTAAATGCAATTGTGCAAAAGCAAAATGGGAAAAAAAAAGAAGATAAAAACCTCAAGATTGCTATTAAAGCATGTAAGCATTGATTTAAATTTTATTTTTTGCTATATGAAACCCCTGTGTACAAATCAGTGTAGAGTTAGGATTTCGTAAGGGAATAATTTTTTTCATCTCTTGCCTAATAGTTGTGTATTTTAGAGAGAATTTTCAGTAATAGATCTTTTGTCAAGACTGTTTTCAGATCACATCTTTGACTCTGGATTCCTGTATGATTTTTGTCTATTTTGTATATATAAAGCATAGAATACTGAAAAGATTTTAAAAGGGAACGCTGGAATGCTTTGTCATTGTTTTGACTGGAAAATGGCAGCACTGTTCGATATTTTGAAAATGCTCTCCAAATAGGCATGAATATATATGGTTGTATTTGATATCACTTTTTAAAATAAATATAATTATAGCTTCTAATGTTTCTCTCTTAAGTCTTTGCATATGTGCTTTCCCTTATGTGTGGATTGGGTTCAGAATCACCAAGTGGGCTTTGCACCAGAGGGGTGTAGGCATAAGCAGTGGAATAGTTTTCTATTGCTGAATTTCATCATCTCTGATGTCTTTGCATCTGTTGATACTCCAGAAATTATATAAAGAGACGCTACTGGTAAGGAAGAAAGTTAGTGCCAATTAAATTTATGTTGCATCTTTTCAAATTGCATGCTTTCTAAATTTTAAAATACGTTTTCCTGCTTTGCTGCCAGAATACTCATTCTTTTTGTGACACAATGCATTGCTTTTGTATTTTAGTCAAAACAGAGTATACTGGATGATTGCTGTGCGCTCTTATTAACAGTGGAAGAAGTCAGGTAAAATAATTTGCAATGCTAAATAATCAATTTCTAGTTTTGGAAGAGTAGTAATTGAAAAGAGGGGGACAAAAAGCCTTCTGTGCTACTTTATTGACTACATGCCTTACTTGGGATTATAAAATTAACCATAATAAAAGACATTTTTATCATCCCTAAATATTTTAAATGTCTGCAGGGCATCCCCGATCATAGCTGAAAAAATGCTAAGAGAATTTCCCATTAAAATTATTTAGCCAAATATTAAGTGACACGTCTTCACTGTCCTGAGGATGCATATGGGTTTTGTTAAACCAATTTTTGAGCATTGTAAACTTTTCGTCTCCATTAAACCAAATATTGCAAATTAATAAAACTGATAGAGCATGGAATGTAGACCTGTATCTTTATCTCAGCACTAATACTTCCTACAGTTCTGATGCCTTTTTTTTTTATTTGCCAGAAATGGATTTGAAGTGGTGTATGATGAGCTTTATTATGGATAATTGTAAGGGTGACAAGTATGCCATAAAATTAATATACTAATAAAATCAGTTATAAATTTGACATAAAATTTGTTCCATGAAGAGAGAAAACAATCTTTATTAGAGAGCTTTTAATTTCTTAACTCCTGGACCACATACCATGCCCAGTCTTAGAGTTGCCTGRGAGTAACAGAGGACAGTAAAGCTGAAAGGGTAATGCAGAATTGCTGGCCAGCTATGAACCCGTCACCAAGGCCCTGCAAGATAGTTTGGGAAGCAACAGGCAGGTTGTTCTGTATCTGTTTGGTAATGTTTGCCAGCTTGTTACTCTAGAGCATATGCTGTGTGCCTGCTGCATTCTCAGATGTATAAAATTCTAGGATGTCACCTGTGAAATGCTCTTCTCAGCTTCATTTTGCCGTTGATGTGGTGTTTCAATTACTTTTTATGTAGTTATCAATTTCAAATGACCAATGAGCTAGCTGCCCCATATTTTATTTCCAGTATCAGCATGTTTTTGTAACGGTATCATTYTGACTGATACAAAACTGCTTTTTCTATAGCAATGTAGTACTCATTGTAGTCCCAAGTACTTTTAAATACTACACTGGATCAAAACCAAAAGGCACTTTGAATTGGACCAGTGTTGGGGTTCTGGCTGCAAATCCAACCAAGAATCAGAGAATGGATCAGGTTGGAASGGAGCACAGTGGGTCATCTTGTCCAACCTCCSTGCTCAAGCAGGGTCATCCCAGAGCACGCTGCACTGAATTCAGATGGTTCCTGAATATCTACAGTGAGGGAGACTCCACTGCTTCTCTYGGCAATCTGTTCCAGGGTGCAGTCACCGCACAGTAAGCAAGTTTTTCCTGATATTCAGGTGGATCTTCCAGTGCATCAGTTTCTACCCGTTGCACAAACTTTGTCCTATTGCTGGGCACCACCGAGAAGAGTCTGGATCCAGTCTCTTAGCACCTCTCCTTGAGATTACTGACAGACATCGGTCCCCTCTCAGTCKCTTCTTTTGTATCCACTGCATTTACATCCAAAGCAGCCGGGACTTCAGGATCTTGTGTGTTTTGTGAGAACACATTCAAACGCAAATCGTGTCTATTACCCGGCACAGCACACTGTTTTGCTAATGGCCCTGGTTCATCCCGGCGGGCGGGCTCCCGTTAATCACACGGCGCTCCAGGTGCCGCTCCCCGCGCCCCGCCTCTGCTCCGCCACCTTCCCGGCATTCTCCGCTTCCGCCCACACAGCATACCCGCCTCCCAGGGGACGCTCTAGCCCAGGCCGCCGCTCTCGCTGGTGTTTGGGAGGAGTGTCATGGCGGCCGTTGAGGTGGCAGCTGCCGGGGCCGCCGGGAGGAGTCGCTGAGCCGGGACGGGACAAGACAAGGCAGGAGGAACAGCTGAGCCGGGAGGATGCGCGCGGCGMTGGCCGAGGAGTCGCTAAGCCCGCTGTGCTGAGCCCGCAGCAGGAGCCGCGACTCGCTGTAGCGAAGAGAAGGGAGGCGGAGACGGCCCCTTGGCCTCCGGGAACCGGCTGCAGGGGCCCCCCGGCGGGGCCGAGCGAGGCCTGGAGYCCTCCGAGCCGCGATGGCGTCGTGGCTGGGCGGGCTGGGCTCGGGGCTGGGCCAGTCCCTAGGGCAGGTGGGCGACAGTCTGTCCTCGCTCACCGGGCAGATCTCCAGCTTCACCAAGGACATCCTTCTGGAAGGCGCGGAGGAAGTGGGCGGTAAGGGGGGCTCGGGACGGGCCTGGTTCCACGGGGGAGCTCTTCCTGCGGACGTCGGTCCCCTCCAGACCCGCAGCGGCGGGGCCTGCGCTGCGCGCACCGGCCGGGAGGGCGCTGATCGCGGCTTCGTGCCTTTCGCGAATTCTGCTGGCTTTGCTGCCTTTGTTTTTGTTTTTATTCCGTTCCTGTGATCACAGGATCTGGATAATATACAAATATATTCCCAGGCTCGAATAGCAAGGGTGGACCTATTTTAGGCTTACTACTCGGAAGTTTCTGAATTTTTTGAAGTGTTATGTTCCGTAATGACAGCACTCAACACTCTTTTTCTTTTCCTTTTTGTTTATTTGGTTTATCTGAATCCTCGGTTAATTAGCTGCTTTTACATTGGTTTCATAAAATTGCGGAGTTGTAGTACAGAGATTGTTTTGCCACTAGTGTGATCTAAGTCTGACGTGTCACACAGGCAAGGTTCAATGTTTGTCGTGTTTTTGTTTATATTTCAGTTGGGCCCAGAGAAACCTGTCGAGTTCTGCAATTCCCCTACAGTCAAGTAGGAGAACATGGCCCTTGCTTTATAAGGATTAGAGGCTAGAACGATTTATCTTTAAAACAGAAAGTTATAACAAAAAAACAGAGACATCAGAGTAAGATATTTTAAAAACCAATAGTAAATMTATTCTAGTGTATTATATTTTCTTCATATTTTTATTAATGGCGTTTTGTTACAAATTTTTTGAAAAACTTTATTAAGCAGTTGTATAAAGTGGTACTAAGTATCAATCGGCTAACATTCCTAGTATTGTTCACCATCTTGTGACTATAAAGTGTTTTAAGTTTGTTAAAACATTGTTAAGAATAGCAACCACAAAGCGCAGCTAAGACTTCTGAAGAGTCACCTTAAATGTGAAATTAAGCAATTCTACTTTGTTTACAATTTCTCATCTATGAAACATTGTGAAAGAATATTATAGAAACATATGTTGTATAAACGTTGGCAAGCTGATACAATGAGTATYATATGGATGGCCCTTTTAGTAAAATGCTGAGAAGAGAATAATTCTGACAACTGTGAAGTAATTTTTTTTTCACTTCTCTGAAAGACTTGCTTAAAATTGTTTCARATTTTAAAACCCCTATTGTTTCRTTTGTAAAGTTATTTTATACTCCTGAGCTGTGCAGTCATCTAGGGTGCTTATTTTTCTTTTTTAAAAGAGAAATTGTGATTTCAACTCACATGTTTGTGCAAGAGAGATGTACTGATGTTCAGAGTTACTTCCAGGCGTACTTCACTGCTAGATACTGCTGTGAACAGCTTCAGTTTCCTAACAGTTTCAGAGTAGTATATTTGTATGGGCTACTAGACTTGATGTAAAAAATATAGTGACATCCAAGTGCTCTTCTGTAAAGACCTGTGTGGCCTAAACATCACTTTTCAAGTACTTCCTTACAGTTTGGTTTTTTWAAATTTCCTAATTGGCAAAAGTTTCCTAGTTTTTAATATAATCCCTTGTATTCACTGTTTTGACTGCTATCAGAACTGAAGATATTTTTGTGAAATATGGACTTGCACACCTTCCATTTCACAGTTTTCATGTGTAAATTGTTGGCTCTGCAGTGCTTTAGTTCTCTCAGTTTTAAACAGCATATAGGAAATTATGAGATATAGTATTTACTTGGAAATTGTACCTATTTCAAGTTTTGAAATATTGTCAAGGCTGCTTTATAGTCAATTCAGGATAATTTCTCATTGATAAAAGGAAATGGGCTGTTTCTGTCCRGTAAAGGTGGGACATAGGACAAGTAAATAGAGCCAATTTGAGGAAGATTGATCATTAAAGGAAATGTATCTGGAATTGTGTGCTTTTTCTATTGGATAAACTGGGATAATAGGTATATCACCTTTTTAAGAGATAGTGAATCTTAAAGGGTTGATGTTTTTTTGGGTGTGGGTGGTTTGTTTTTTATCCTGAAAATTTAATCACTGTTACTTGTATTTAATGGAATCAATACTAGTTTTGAAACTTTACATGGCATTACAGAGAAACACACAACTGTCAGGTCAGGAGCTAGTCTGAAATGAGAAATGGATTCAGGAACATGAAATAGTCAAGTAAAACTTTTTTACCTCCCTTACTTTTATTCTTAAATCCATACTAATCTGTTAGGGTTTTGGTTTGACTTAAAGTCTCAATATGAGTGAAATAAAACAGGTTCAGAAAGACAGTCTGAAAAATAATTCTTACAGTGCTCTGATAAAAACAGCTTTTGATGAACATTAACACTGTCTGAAGTAAGATCTGTATTAATAACTGGTCTTAACAGATTAAAAGGATTGTAATTAAAATGAAAATTTTCACTTTCTTTCAGATGCAGCAACAGAACTCCATGTGTCCAATTCTAGACTCAGAGAAGTAG